TCGATGCAATTATGAACAGTGGCTACGACTGTGTTTCTGTTGCTGTTTTTAGTCATTGTTCACAGTAAAATACCTGAACACTATCTGCTCTGGATCTCAGACAGAGCAGGGTCCATAAATCGGTGAGTCATCGCTGTGGTATTTGTCTGAGCCGGACTCTCTCCCGACGTCACCGATAAATGTCACATACGTCAAAATGTGTAATCTGCTTTATCACAAACATTAATTTAAGTTGCACAACATTCCAAAAGTCCCTTAGTTTCACATTGTGGTGGAGGGAAGTCGACACCTCTCTCCTGGTAACTATGGTGAGTGGCAAAAGTCGGATTCTAGTCTAAGTAAGTCTTGGACCAGAAACAACAAACTTCAACATCCACTCATCAAATATGGTCTCATTATTTTCTCATTGCTGTGTCTAAGAGGTGAGTATAAAAATGTACTGTATGCATGATGTTGGCCAGAGAGGGACCAGAGAGAGAGCGTTACCAGAGAGAGAGCGTTACCAGAGAGAGAGCGTTACCAGAGAGAGAGCGTTACCAGAGAGAGAGCGTTACCAGAGAGAGAGCGTTACCAGAGAGAGAGCGTTACCAGAGAGAGAGCGTTACCAGAGAGAGAGCGTTACCAGAGAGAGAGCGTTACCAGAGAGAGAGCGTTACCAGAGAGAGAGCGTTACCAGAGAGAGAGCGTTACCAGAGAGAGAGAGTGGGACCAGAGAGAGCGGGACCAGAGAGAGAGAGAGGGACCAGAGAGAGAGAGGGACCAGAGAGAGCGCGGGACCAGAGAGAGAGCGGGACCAGAGAGAGAGCGGGACCAGAGAGAGAGCGGGACCAGAGAGAGAGCGGGACCAGAGAGAGAGCGGGACCAGAGAGAGAGCGGGACCAGAGAGAGAGCGGGACCAGAGAGAGAGCGGGACCAGAGAGAGAGAGCGGGACCAGAGAGAGAGCGGGACCAGAGAGAGAGCGGGACCAGAGAGAGAGCGGGACCAGAGAGAGAGCGGGACCAGAGAGAGAGCGGGACCAGAGAGAGAGCGGGACCAGAGAGAGAGCGGGACCAGAGAGAGAGAGCGGGACCAGAGAGAGAGCGGGACCAGAGAGAGAGAGCGGGACCAGAGAGAGAGCGGGACCAGAGAGAGAGCGGGACCAGAGAGAGAGCGGGACCAGAGAGAGAGCGGGACCAGAGAGAGAGCGGGACCAGAGAGAGAGCGGGACCAGAGAGAGAGCGGGACCAGAGAGAGAGCGGGACAGAGAGAGAGTGGGACCAGAGAGAGAGTGGGACCAGAGAGAGAGTGGGACCAGAGAGAGAGAGAGTGGGACCAGAGAGAGAGAGAGCGGGACCAGAGAGAGAGAGGGGGACCAGAGAGAGAGAGAGAGAGGGGGACCAGAGAGAGCGAGTGGTACTCGAGAGAGCAGAGTGAGAGGGACGATATTGAGAGAGGCACCAGAGATTAGGGAAAGACTGACCAGAGAGAGAGAGAAAGGGACCAAGGAGAGAGGGTCCCAGAGAGAGAGATTAGGGAGAGAGGGTCCCAGAGAGAGAGATTAGGGAGAGAGGGTCCCAGAGAGAGCGGGACCAGAGAGTTTGATTGGCACCTGTCCTAAGTACTGAAATGGAGCTTGTAGGATCACTCGTTCACGGCTGTATCTTTTCTGGACTAACCTTTTCCTGATCCCTGTTGTCCCTCAAGTTCCCTCATGATGTCATTATTGTTTTACCTCTTCTTGGGATTTGCAAATGTCAATGGGGCCGTAAAGTGTGACATAATTTCTCAGTTTTCGGGCCAACGCTGCGATAACTTGACTTTTGTTTGTGTTCCATTTGTTTCCAGTAAACGTTTACGCCCAACACTTGTTTATGCAGCACTCTGACGGCTGCTTTGTTCAGCGTTTACACCAACAACCCAACTCTAGAAATGATGTTCTAAGAAATATTATGGTGACTCTTCGGTTTTGTAGTTGCCCGATGTATGAACTGCGCTGTGAAAATAAAAATAAGTTGTCATATTTGTCCTGGTTGGAGCCACATGTATAATATATTATTTATATCATGAAGGTTGCACAACATTCCAAAGAGATTATAGTTTTTAAGTTATCTTTAAATGGGATTCCTCTGGATACAATCTTTAATATGTTTTGCTATCAGGAGGTCTCCCTCTCTGGTCCCTTCTTTCTCTAGTCTCTCTCTGGTCTCAGTCTCTGGTCTCTCTCTCTCTCTGGTCTCTCTCTCTCTGGTCTCTGGTGTCTCTCTCTGGTGTCTCTCTGCTCCCCCTCTCTGGTCTCTTTCTGGTCTCCATCTCTGGTCTCTGGTCTCTCTCTCTTTGGTCTCTCTCTCTCTGGTCTCTGGTGTCTCTCTGCTCCCCCTCTCTAGTCTCTCTCTGGTCTCCATCTCTGGTCTCTGGTCTCTCTCTCTCTCTCTGGTCTCTGGTCCCTCTCTCTGGTGTCTCTCTCTGGTGTCTCTCTGCTCCCCCTCTCTGGTCTCTTTCTGGTCTCTCAGTGTTTTTCGCTCTTATGTTTGACGTCGTCAAACGTAGACGTGTCTGATCACATTTTAAAGCTCAGAACAGCTTGAATCCAGTCAGTCCAGGTCGTCGGCTCCTGGACAATATTGAGGAACTAAAATGGCCCTCTAACCTAGGACCCCTTTGACGTAGCCCATTGGTTTAAAATCCTCTCTGACTTTTAAAGCAAATTGCATCTCAATGTTCAGAAATCAGAAAAAGGACATGTTTTTACCACAATCGTGCGACTCAACCCTGGACAGTCCTGTGACGATCGGATACTTCTGTGTGTCTTTCCTGGACAAACGGTTTATGTTGAAATATTTTCATTTTCCGCATTGCTTTGGAGGACGTTGACCTCTGCTCGTTTCCGTAGCAACTAGCTGCACACTTTCACTTCCTGGTTGCAGAGAGACTAGAGAACTGGAGCAAAGGCAACACGTCATATTCCTCCCACAGTTTTTTGAGTAATGAAGTATTAAGCCCCATATCTACCATGTGGCCATACCTGCAGCTGAGAGCCAGATCCTGTTAGACCTCTGAAGCTAAGTAAGGCAAGGCTTGATCAGTACTGTGATGGGAGACCTCTGGGAACACAGCTGCGACTGTAAAGGGAAAAAGTGTCTTTGTGTCTTTAGGCAAGACACTTCTCCCACATTAGAATGTGTCTGGTGTGTGCGTGTATGGTTGGTGGTGGTGGGAGGGGCCAGTGGCACACACTGGTTGCCTCCCTTCTGTCAATGTGCCCCAGGGCAGCTGTGGCTATAGGATTATTGGAGGATATATTGTGTTTGACATCTGTGATGTTTGGCTTTGTGAGCTTTTTTGTAACTATATATCTGACGGCATAATAATAAAATAAAACATTTCATGTCTTGAGGAGAGAATGCCCCCAGTGTTGTGATGGGGAGGAGGAGGAGGGTTGTGGCACGAGCCAAATGTTGAGGCTCAGGTGTTTAGTGGGCTGGAGGGGGACTGAGGTAGAGCAGGAGAAACCAGGGACATCAGTCTGAACCTCCATTAAAACACTTCATAGTGCCACATGAACCAATGTTGACTCTGAAGCACAGGGACTGGCCTCTTGCTGGTGTCCAGAGTCAGGACTAAACATAGGGAAGCATTATTTCAGATTCATGCTGCTAAAATGAGACAGGCTTCTACTCTGACACAACCAGGTTAAAACAGTTCTGTTTTGCTTCTACAACTGAAGGATTGTGTCTTTACTGTGGTTGTAATTTGATTATTTATTTTAATGCCTTGTGATGACAACTCAAAGTGCTTACAATCTTTTGTAAGCACTTTGAGTTGCCTTGTGTAAGACCTGTGTCATACAAATAAACTTTCCTCACCACTCTCCCCTTTAAAAGCCTGACATGTCACTCACAACAGATACAGGAAAAGCAGTGATTTGAACCTGCAACTTCCAGGTCACGAACGGGTACAAGCAGTGGTCACACCCAGCTGCTGTCCCACAGAGAACGCCTGTTTAGATGACCCGCGTGCTCCGGCCGGGTGGAGTTAGACGCAGACGGAGTTATCGGAGCCACAGGAGGAGAGAGGATGAGGCCTTGATGAAAGTCTGTGGTCAGCAGTTGGTCTTCCTGCCAAAGGGGAACATAGACCTGCCGAGTACGAGGTCTGTGAGAGGGGGGGTGGAACTTGGCTGACTGAGGGTGGTCCTCTGTCTTTTACTTTTCTGTCTGAAAAAGCTGAAGCTCTAAAGATGTGACAGAGGCCAAATGTAGATGAATGTGAAAACTAGTGATTGAAGAAACTGTTTTAGAGCCAAGAGACATGGATTTTCATCACAGAGTTCTATAGTTTTATCCATCCATCTTTTTCTGCCCCTTTAACCGTTGCCGGGTCGAGAGGCAGCACTCTAAGCAGAGACGCTCAGACTTCTCTTATTCCACACACACTTCCTCCAGCTCATCTGGGGGAGTCCTGAGGCGTTCCCAGGCCAGCTGAGAGACACAGTCCCTCCAGCGTGTCCTGGGTCTTCCCCTAGTCTCCTCCACATGCCCAGAACATAGCCACAGGGAGGCGTCCAGGAGGCATCCCAAACAGATGCACTAGCCACCTAAACTGGCTCCTCTACACGTGGAGAAGCAGCGGCTCTACTCCAAGCTCCTCCCGTGTGACTGAGCTTCTCACCCTCTCATTGCTAAAGGAGCACTCGGACCCGCTTGTATCCGCAATCTAATCCTTTCGGTCATTACCCAAAGCTTGTGACCAGAGGTGAGGAAGGGGACATAGACTGAGCGGTAAATCGAGGGCTCTGACTGCAGACGCTGCTCCCTCTTCACCTCAACAGTCCGATAGAGCGACAGCATCACTGCAGTGCACACGCTGCACCGATCTGTCCGTTCGTTCTCCTGTTGTGGTTTGAAAGCTAGGTAACCCAACTTCAAACAATGTTATAATTATTCTGCTGCATCAGGACATTCTCACGGTCTTTCCAGTCGTCTGCCATTTGAATTCATTTTTTTCTGATTTTCCTCTCCAGGTATCGACTTCAAAATCAGAACGGTGGAACTGGACGGCAAGAAGATCAAACTACAGATATGGTGCGTGTGTTTTCCAGTGTAAAACTTGAATCTGTGTTGTAAAATTGTTTTGACGTGTTGTGTTGTGTTGTTCCAGGGACACAGCAGGACAAGAGAGATTCAGGACCATCACCACGGCCTACTACAGAGGAGCCATGGTGAGTCAGGCTAATACTTTTAGATATTAACTGAATTTCACTCCGACATCATGCATACTTAGCTTTTATGGTTTAATTGTGTCCATTTTTTATAAAGCACTGTTCCCTCACTACAACACGGACCTCCTGTGTGACACCAACAACATCATAAACCGCTAGTTTTAACATGAAAGTTCATGTTAAGTCTCTCTTGTCTCTCTCTCTGGTCCCCCTCTAGTCTTTCTCTCTGATCTCTTTCTCTTGTCTCTCTGATCTCTCTCTAGTCTCTCTCTCTGATCTCTCTCTCTGGTCTCTATCTGGTCTCTCTCTGATCTCCCTCTCTAGTCTCTCTGGTCTCTCTATCTGGTCTCTCTCTCTAGTCACTCTGATCTCTCTCTAGTCTCTCTGTCTGATGTCTCACTGGTCTGTCTCTATGGTCTCTTTCTAGTCTCTGATCTCTCTCTGGGTCTCTCTCTCCAGTCTCTCTCTCTGATCTCTCTGGGATCACATATCCACCATTATAACCTCACAGTGTCTGTTTATTCTGTTCTTTAAAGCAGTCATACAGACTGTGACCCTTGACCTTCTGCTCAGCTGTTTCCCCGAGCGCGTACTTCCTGTGTTCGAGTCATTTCCTGTAGCTCTCTGACCTCACTTCCTGTGCAGGGCATAATGCTGGTGTACGACATCACCACCGAGAAGTCCTTCGACAACATCAAGAACTGGATCCGGAACATCGAGGAGGTGAGACGCAAATCTGCTGCCCCCTTCTGGACACTCTCTGAACATGAGGAGATGTAGGATAAAGTTGGGGTACGTAACTTTCAAACCACAAAGAATTGAACTCTGTAATAACATTTTGGCTCTCAAAGTTTGCTTCTCCTCAGTAGTTTTCACATGCATGTATTGTTGGCCTCTGTCACATCTTTGGCATAAGCTTTTTCAGACAGAAAAGTGAAAAGATATGACCACCCTCAATCAGCCAATCAGCTCTCAGCCCAAAGAGTCAAATAGTGACTTGCTGGGATCTGTCATAGTGTATTTTGTATAGCCCTAAATCACAACAGCATTCGTCTCAAAGGACTTTTATTGAGTGAGCGACTTGGACGGACTGAGGCTGTAGATCCAGGACTGAGGCTGTAGATCCAGGACTGAGGCTGTAGATCCAGGACTGAGGCTGTAGAGGCTGTAGATCCAGGACTGAGGCTGTAGAGGCTGTAGATCCAGGACTGAGGCTGTAGATCCAGGACTGAGGCTGTAGAGGCTGTAGATCCAGGACTGAGGCTGCAGATCCAGGACTGAGGCTGCAGATCCAGGACTGAGGCTGCAGATCCAGGACTGAGGCTGTAGAGGCTGTAGATCCAGGACTGAGGCTGTAGAGGCTGTAGATCCAGGACTGAGGCTGTAGATCCAGGACTGAGGCTGTAGAGGCTGTAGATCCAGGACTGAGGCTGCAGATCCAGGACTGAGGCTGCAGATCCAGGACTGAGGCTGCAGATCCAGGACTGAGGCTGTAGATCCAGGACTGAGGCCGCAGATCCAGGACTGACGCCTCTTTGGACTGAGAGTTGATTGGCTGAGTTAGGGTAGTTTCCCACATTTCACGTAGAAAAAAGCCGATCTAAAGATGTCTCGTGATACAAGCAAACGTGAGGAAATGGTCGGGGGATTTTCTCACACAGATAATGTTTGTGGTTTGAAAGGCAGGTACCTCAGCTTTAATTTCAAAGTGCTGGCTGTAGCTGTTTTAACTGTAAAGTGTGTGGTGCTGTGTTTTTCAGCACGCCTCCTCAGACGTGGAGAGAATGATCCTGGGAAACAAATGTGACATGAACGCCAAGCGCCAAGTGTCCAAAGAGAGAGGCGAGAAGGTGTGTGCAAGTGTCGCTCTGTATGAAGCCCCATTTCCACCAGCCCTACTCAGCCCTACTCAGCCCTACTCAGCCCTACTCAGCCCTACTCAGCCCTACTCAGCCCTACTCAGCCCTACTCAGCCCTACTCAGCCCTACTCAGCCCTACTCAGCTGTATTCTACCTGGTTGTGTTTCCATTACTTTTTTATCTGGTACCATTTACTTGCATCAACCAGGGCCAGAATCAGGGCCAATAGTGACAACAGAAGGACCTAGTACTCTCAATTGGTGTAGAGTAGAGCTGAGTAGGGCTGGAGGAAACAGGGAAACGAGAAGGTATATAGGAGGATTTTCTCAAATTTTAGGAAAGAACCGCCCGCCTAATAAAATGTGTCACTTATCACCAGGATTATTGACAATTAGGAGGTCCAATAGTTTAGATGATCCACAAGGATGAAGAAAATCCCATATTTACCTTTAAAGTCATCTGCAAACCTTCTTACATTGAACTGACTGCTTTCTCACCTGTGTTTAGTTGGCGATAGATTACGGAATTAAGTTTTTGGAGACGAGTGCAAAGTCTGGGATAAATGTGGAAGAGGTGAGTGTCCGTCTGCTTTGGTCTTGTGATACTTCATTACAAAACCAAAACCACCAAAAGAGAAGTGTGTGTGTGCCTATCGCTGTGCTTTGTCTGTCTCTCTGTCTCTCTCTCTGTCTCTCTCTCGCTCTCTCTGTGTTGCCTGGATGATTCTCAGGAACAGCTCCTCTGTGTCTGATGGCGTGTTTTCTCTCTTCAGGCTTTTTTGACGCTCGCTCGGGACATTATGACGAGACTCAACAGAAGAATGGTGAGTTTAGAGCTTTTTGACTTTTCCAACACAAGCATAAAAGCAAAGGGGACATAACATAAACTGTCCTATGTGCGAGCTGGCAATTACAAAGAGGAGATGAAAACATGGATCCTGGGATTTATTTGTGGAATAAAACACTGAAAAAGACAAAAGTAAGATTTCCCCCTCAGTATGATAACTGATAAGTAAAAGTAAAGTATGATATCTCCCTCAGCGTCTGAACCAAAACATGAAGGGGAAAGTTCTGACTTCTGTAGACTGTTGTAAGCACCAGCTCAGTTTTAAGATATTTGCACATCAAAGATCCATATGTATATACATATCTGGCAAGAAAAATAAGTAGATAAAGTGACATTCTGAATTTGCTGTATTTACTATTCACAGATGAGATGACATACAGATTCAGCAGTTCTCATTGTACAGTCTGACAGCAGCATGTTAGCAGTTCCCTCCAGCTGCTCCGGTAAAATCCTTGAGGCCCTAGTGGCATTACAGGATGGGTCAAATGCAGAAGACACATTTCCCCTCTGGGACAATAAAGGCCCAGATACTCGGGCGCCACTGTGTGCGTTGGCGTTTGACCCGTGGTTAATTACGCAGCCACAGTTGTTCGTACACTCGAGCTCCCCCGCTCTTGTGTAGTTTTGAAGAGAATGTTGTAATCCCACACCATAACCACATGATGGCGATCTTGCAAGAGTGGCTTGGGACACCAAAGGGGGTTCGCATTATAAAGTTACGCTAGCTACTTTCTCCTCTTCAGAACAAAAACGGTAGCGAACCAAGTTGTCTGACCTCGTTAAACGTGTATCTCGGTGTAAGTTTATGTGATAGTTCTATAGACTCATTGATTCATAACTCATTTAACTGTGATGCTGTGAATAAAGACACAGTTCTTGTTGGAAGCAGTTATTATTAAAGTGTATTCAGCACAAACAGCAAAGCAATAAATGATAAATATCTGAAACATGAACTATGTATAAGTGCAGGGTGAATGCAACAAGACGCGATAATCTACAGCTGCAGATTCAAACAAAGACAGAGTGGAACAGTGTCAAAAGAAGTTGAGCCATGAGTCCAAACTGATTTTCCTTTGGTTCCTTCGAAGCACTGAAGCAATCTGCTCCGAAGAGCACTCTCGCCTCTCAGCAAGAAGGTCCTGGGTTCGAATCCCGGTCGGACCAGGGCCTTTCTGAGTGGAGTTTGCATGTTCTCCCGTGTCTGCGTAGGTTTCCTCGGGTACTCCGGTTTCCCCTACCACTAAAAATATGTACAATAGGACTGGCATGTGCCTCCTGTACTGGCCCCGCTCCCATCTCTGTGTGGAGTGAGAGACAAATACCCAAAATTAACAATTGTAAACCGCTTTGAGACTTTCTGCAGTGAAAAGGCGGTATATAAATAAAAACTTACTTACTTACTTACTCCCTGCTTCCTTCCAAAAATGTCGTCACACACGAGCCAATCACAGCGGACCTTCTCTGTGTCTTGCAGTAATCCTTGCGTTGGTCATGTGACATCGGGTGACGTCACGAGTTTATACGCCCGCCGTTATGTATCAGAGTTCTCAGTGCTCGCTTTCTGTTAACTCCACCATTCTTACTTTTCAGAACGACAACAACGCGGCCGGAGGCGGAGGTCCCGTCAAGATCAGCGAGAACCGTCCCAAGAAGAGCTTTTTCCGGTGTTTGCTTTTGTAAAGACTCAAACAGAAGGATTGATCTGCCTCTTTTTTGCTTCAAGAGATTTTTTTATATGTTTTTTCCTCATTTTGCGCCTTATATTTTTACAGTGTTGAGCTTTGACGCGCCGACCTCAACACGAAGACGGACTGTTACGTTCAAACCAAAGCCAGTGACTTTTTTTGTCTATTTTTACCACTTTTTCCACAGATTTTAAGGTTTAATTTAATATATTTTATCAGCAGTTTCATGGATTTGTATCAACAGATCTCTGCCTTTTCATGAGTTTAGCATATTTTTGCTTGCAGCAATTGTTATTCTAAGTGCACATGTAGCAAAATAGGACTTTTTACTCTTACCGCCAAACGCATGTGTGAATGTGTGTGGTCTTTTCCTGTTTATTTACCATAAAACACATAATGGTTGATCACCGTGGTGTGTGTACCAAGTGCAATGGAAAAGTATATGTTATAACTGATGAGAAATATAATTGTATCGTTGACTTCAAAAAATATTGACAATAACTTCATGAAAATGAAATCAGAGCTTGTTCTGTGTATAATTTAACTCAAAGGACACATATTTTGCAGAATACTTTTAGAAAACATAAGTATACAAACTCAATTTGTTGTTGCTCCCAAACCGGTCTGGTCACTCTGGTGCCCAGCTGCTCAAATTGAGCTTTATGACGCTTTCAAAGGTCTTTCATAACTCTGCCTTAGCACTCAAATGTTGGTAGTTATGGTTAATATAATTGCCGTCATATGATCATAAAATAACCCACAATAAGTGAAATCCTCTCGGTAGCAGCTGTATGTTTTTAAGGCTGTAAAACCCCTCACCACAATCTTTTTACACTCCCGACTGCTGAAGTGCGATTGTACAGATATCAAACCAGTTGTAGGTCTGTAATGTACAGCTACAGACGACAGAGAGCAGACTGGTTTTTCACATCTCAAGCAGAGAACAGAGGTTAACTTTACTCAGCGTCTGGCTCAATCTGATGAAAATGCTTTAGTAAAAACACTGTTGCAACATTAGAACAGACCTGGTGTTGTGTTTAGCTTCAGTAGAGTAGATAAGATAGAACTTTATGAATCCAGAAGGAAACTTATGTGCCTGGGAGCTATAAAAACCACTGCAGTAATATCAGGAACTTCAGGCACAAATCCCTTCTGTCTTGTGGACCTTTCAAAACAAAATGATTGCCTAATTTTTTTGAGTCAGATAACGTTCTTTCTAACTATGTGCCTTCTATTCGACACATACAACAAAGAATGTAAATGTAATTTCCCATGTCTGCCACTAGATGGAGCTGTTACGCTGCTTGAGATCATTCCCCTGTGTTTTATACATGTTTATCCATATATTCTCTGATGATGAAGATTAAGATCTTGTTAAATCAACAAAAGCATCGAACCCATTGCATAATATATGTCCTTCTAAAAGAATATTTGCCAATGGAACAAGCAACTTAACTCATTTCAGGAGCAGTGAGAATGACTTTGTCCTCTTAATAGTTTAAGTATAGACTATAAACAGATGGTCAAGGCTAAACTTCTTGCTCATGAACGAAGTTTGCACCAACTCCTATTGACTTACACTGTAAAACTCCTAGCTCAGTAACCATTTGTATCACTCACCATTTTGGGCTTAAGAAATCCGGTAATTAGCGCTTTCTGTGATGGCGTTTATATTGTTATTTTGTCTTTTTAAATCCGGGTAAGAGCCATATTGGGATTGACCAATCAGATGGCTTCATTCACAGAGGAAACTCAAGTTTGCCTTAGCAACCACCTAGCAACACGTCTGTCCCTGTTGCAAAGCGAAGCTAACAAATGGGAGGAAATTGGCTCCAGCTAGCTTATGTTCAAATCGGCTGTTTCCACCTTAAGGCTAACACTGTGGTGATGTCACACTCGGTCAGTCCACTCCTAATATACGCTATAGTATAAAAGATAGTTGTATGCTTGTTCCAATGGCACTATGGTCAAATTATACTCAACAAACTACATTTATTAACATATTTCAGTTTTACAGTGATAGTGATTTAATTTGGTCTTACATTTCAAAGTCGCACTATCCAAGCAGCACTGCCGGTAGATTTCAGATGCTTCTGGTTGTTTGTGACATCACACCCCACGAAGGAAAACCACTCGATGTCAATGTGCTTTAGGACTGCAGTCATGTTTCCACTTTACTGTGACATTTATTGGTGTATCGATGTCTTACTTTTGTGTCTTTCACTGTTGTTTAAAAAAAAAAGTGAGTTTAGTTGGAAGAGTTTTATATAAAGAAGAAATTGGCACATTTTTTAAGCTAATCCCCAAGAAATGGTGGTAAATGTGAACTTTGACATACTGTATTCTGCAAAATCAACTTTTTAGTGTCATAATGTTTTTGAATCCATCCAAACTGATATCAGGAACTTCCTGCTTGCCTTAGCAACCGCCTTAGCAACAAGTCTGTCTCTCTTATGGCACAAAGCTAATGCCGTCAGAACAAGAAATCGCTCCAGCTAGCTTATGTTCAAATTGGTCTCCGCATCAAGACCAATAGAAGGGTGATGTCACACTCTGTCAGTCCACTCCAAATATAAAAGCTAAATTTTTGGAGAAAAGTCGATTTTGCAGAAAATGTCAATATATAATTTTTATGGACAAAAATGTCTTCAAAATTTCATCATCAAAAAGTACAACTTGAAGGTATTTTCAGAATGATGAGAAATTGTGTGAAAAAACGTGACTTTTGCCAAAGAAACGTTGAAATCTTTTGAAATATTGTATCTTTTTGACGTCTTCTGTGTATTATGTGTTTACAGACATAAGTGTTAATTTCCACACAAACCTCATTAAAACGCCACTTTAAGAGATTCTTTTCAGATGATTTAGACGTGTCTTAATTAAGAGGAGAGCTGAGGGTTTGCGGTTCACTTTCGGTGTTGTGAATTTGGACGAGACATTTCAATCACGCATTTAACTTCATGTATGCTCCACAGAAATGTATTTATGAATGATGTTAACCCAATGTCACTCACAGCTTGCTAGTTTTTCAATCGCTTTAACACAATTTCTATAACAGACTTTTAAATTGCCACATATTTGAACCATTTGTAAAAAAAAAACATAAATATTTACACCATTATAAAGTCTGTGAGCCGTTCATACCCAAACTGTATATAGACTGACAATGCTAACCCCTTTCGCTCAATGACAGCTGAGGTCCCTCCCCATTGGTCAAATTATTCTCCTCCGGAAAATTTTACAGGTGGTGAGTTTTCCAAGGAAAGGGGCTGCTTTGAATATATTTATTGTGAAAAATACTGGAGATACAGTAGATGTCAAAACAAGCAGACCTGGGCTAAGTGCTGTCTGGGTACCACATCAGGCCCGATTTCCATTTCTATACGGCCCTAGGACCCTTCTCAGCCAAACTAGTTCAAACCGGTATGTTGCTTATAATTTGTGAAATACGTCGCAACAATTGGGTGTTGTGGATTTTTTTTATTAGAGATAAAAGTTTTAAGGCTCAAAATGGCTGTTTCATTCCGTAGCACCATTGGTTACAAAAAAAGCAACATTAATTTCAAAGATTATGGCAAAAAAGTATGACTTTTTTTAATGCATGAACTAATCTATGTTCCCAAGAACCCAAAAATGTAAAAAATAAAATAAAAATAGAAAATCAACAAATAATTGCTGAGAAATGTGTGACTATTTTCAGATCTTTGTGTTACAGCGATTGTGGGAAAAAAAACAACCTTTTTGTTCTTAGTTTATTCCTGTAGTTTTCAGCTGATTCGTGAGTTAAAGCTGGGGTACCTAAATTCCAATCTGTTGTGTACGACAGCCCAGTGAGTCACTATTTGACTCTTTGGGCTGAAGCCTGAAGGTTACATACCCCAGCTTTAAATATGCTGCGAATATGACGCTGTGCAAAGGGATACACACAATTTTTATATTCAATTTTGTGTAATTTTTTACCAGTGTTTGTGATCACTTCTATGCAAATCTCAGCTTGTTTCTTTCTGGAACCAAACATTTTGTTCAAATATTTTGTTTTGTGTCTTAAATATTTACTTTTTCTATTCGCTGAGGCCTTATCCGAGTCGTTTGAGTTCGAGCCATAACTGTTACATTGAGAAACTGTTGTGAGTGAAGTATTTTTTTTCTTCAACTGAATAAAAAAAAAAAGAGGATTTGTGGTAAGTTTTTTGTTGTAGAAACTAAAACCGGAGCAAAAAACTGGAAATCAAGTTTTCCATTGGCTGTTAATATCATTACTACTATGGACCTAATCCTGGCACAGACACAGCCCCCCCGCCCCTTCTAACTAAATTAATGTTTTTGAACTTTTTACTCTCACACATTATTAGACTGTGACAACAGGGATAGTGGTTTTCCGCTTCAATTAGATCCCATATAATAAAAGCATATAGTAGAAGCCTGGATCAAGGCTGTCGATCCTGGACTGTCGAGCCTCAGTCCTGGATCTACAGCCTCAGTCCTGGATCTACAGCCTCAGTCCTGGATCTGCAGCCTCAGTCCTCAGTCCTCAGTCTTGGATCTACAGCCTCAGTCCTCAGTCCTGGATCTACAGCCTCAGTGATGGATCTACAGCCTCAGTGATGGATCTACAGCCTCAGTGATGGATCTACAGCCTCAGTGATGGATCTACAGCCTCAGTGATGGATCTACAGCCTCAGTGATGGATCTACAGCCTCAGTGATGGATCTGCAGCCTCAGTCCTGGATCTGCAGCCTCAGTCCTCAGTCCTGGATCTACAGCCTCAGTCCTGGATCTACAGCCTCAGTCCTGGATCTACAGCCTCAGTCCTGGATCTACAGCCTCAGTCCTGGATCTGCAGCCTCAGTCCTGGATCTACAGCCTCAGTCCTGGATCTACAGCCTCAGTCCTGGATCTATAGCCTGTCCTTCAGTCCGTGGGAGTCTCAATGTAGCCCTCTTCTCATTTCACATTCTAAAACAGGCTCATTACCACAGATAATGCACAATATTTTCAACAACAGACAAGGCTTTTAATTTACTTTTTAATCCCAAAATTTTACATGTATTTACAGAAACATTATAAACCAGTTTCTAAACTCTTCCAAAAACAAACAAACCTGGGAACAGTAGAAATTTTAACTTTTTGTGCCATTTCTTCAGTCATCAAACCTGCTCTCTCACAAACCCTTGAGTTAAGTCATTTATAAGGAGGCACTTCTGGCTCGTTTGGGCGATATATATGTATCTGTTATTTGCCGTGTTATTATATAAAACTAGCTGATTACTGAAAGTGATATTACTTTCGTGGTTAAATAAAGCTCGGGAAAGTAGTTTAAAAAAAATCTGAAATTGCACTTTGTTTATGTTTGATGAGAGAAGGGGAATGTTAAAGCTGGGGTACCTAATATTTTGGTTTCATAATCAACACATGTTTGTCCCAACTGAGAGAGTCTTGTGAGCAAATCAGACTTCATCTCATTAGAAAACATCTTTTGCATATTTGTAAGGGAGATCCCTGTGAGTCACTATTGGACTCTTTGGGCTGAGAGCGGATTGGCTGAGGTGACTAAAAGATGTGACAGGACAAAAATACATGCAATAAGAGAGACCAGAGAGAGAGACCAGAGAGAGAGACCAGAGAGAGAGACCAGAGAGAGAGACCAGAGAGAGAGACCAGAGAGAGAGACCAGAGAGAGAGACCAGAGTGAGAGACCAGAGTGAGAGACCAGAGTGAGAGACCAGACCAGAAAGAGACCAGAGAGTGACCAGAAAGAGACCAGAGAGAGACCAGAAAGAGACCAGAGAGTGACCAGAAAGAGACCAGAAAGAGACCAGAGAGTGACCAGAGAGTGACCAGAGAGTGACCAGATACAGGCATGTGAAAACTAGTGATGAGTTTTGAGAGCAAGGAACTAGTTAGCTCAATTTGTGTTGTTCAAAAGTTGGGTACCCCAGCTTTAAAACCCCCTGCGACCCGGCAACGGATAAAGCAGAAGAAAATGAACGGATATTTAATTAGTGCCGTATTAGAGCAAATTCTATCAGCAAGCAATGGGCAATATTGGCAATAATGAATACACATTTTATTTTTGCGTTAATAATAAAAATAGCATAAGAAGAAATATGTTTTTAGCTTCAGTCATGAGAACATTCGGTTTCAAAGTGATGCGCCTTTGGTACTGGTCAATTCTTAAAGTGACGTCCTGATATATCTTACTATCGTTTGGTCCGAGAGAATTTAAAACAGTACAAAGATGGAAAGATATTCCTTAAAGCAGTGGTCGTGTTGTTGGAACGGTTAAACATAGCCCAGTGTGTAACGCAGACTCCCATTGTGCAACATTCTGAGCAGGAATGTGTTTCAAAATAAGACTAGTGTTGACCTCCACTCTCCTACACGGGAAAGAAATGGGAATGCACCGACTTCAAGTTTCGTCTGTAGGTGTTTGTGACCGGTGTTGAAATCAAAGGCTGTATACAGAGGGACCGTGCTAACCCGCTAGCTCACACTCACCAGTTTGGGCTAAAAGAATGTGTTGTTTAGCGCTCTCTGTGATCCTGGTGTATATATTGTGATATAGTCTTTGAGAATCCAGATACAGTTTGTTCAAATTGGTTTCTTCCACATTAAGGCTAACAGAATGGTGATGTCACACTTGGTCAGTCCACTCCTAATATAAAGTCTATGACAAGAATAATTTATGAATGTAGAACAAATGGTAAATTATTTTTGTGAAGTACTCCGCATCCACATGAGAGTATAGTTTAAAGGTCCCATACTTTTCTATGCTTTAAAGATCCTTAAAGTGCTATTTGGCCCAAAGTAGATTTTTTCATTGATTCCCACTATTTGCCCCAAAGACAAAGAATAAGGCTAACTTTACTCAAAAGGATCTGACTCTGAAATCTGCGACCAGAACTACGGCACTGGACTGGACTTACTTGAAACCTGGTTGTTATTCCCACAATAAAAAACAAGCAGCCAAGATCCGTAAGAACAATGCAGCCAACTCACCGTGTACCGCTGTTAAAATAATTAGAGTCCGATCCTGGATCAAGGACATAGGGCCCCAAGTGACGAATCGTTGGAATTGTTGGAACAAGTTTGTTTTCAGGTGTGAAATAACAATGTACCGATGTCCCGCGCTGTGTGTTTACTTCAAAGTCAGTGTGAGGTGGGAGGAGGCGGGCTCACAGGGAAAAGAGCAGAGATCCAGGAATTTCAATAGAGGTGACATCATCTCTATGCAAGAAATTATTTCACAAGCTTTGAGTGTTGTATGGAGTATCAGCAAAATCACACATGTGCTTAGGATGGACCGTGGAAAATATGGGACCTTTAACTCCCAGGAGAAAAAAAGGAAAATGACAAGCAATTTCTTAAGGGTCTACCCCGGTTCCCTCGTCCATTTCAGACAGTCACAGTGTACTCAAATACTTCTCAATTCCAGCAAGTATTACCCTATATTGGATTTAATATCGCCATGTTTCCAGTGTAACCTTCTTCCCTTGTTTTTCTAAGGCTTCGAAGTCCTTCCGACTGCAGCAGGCACACGTCACAGTGATCCCAGCGAAAAAGATTGTCTGTAAAATGTCCTTGTTTTATGCCTCACTCACGAACCTCTCAGAGTCTGCATCTGCGGCTGTTTTTAGCTCCGCCTTCAAAGCACGTCGTCCAGCGGAGCCATGATGAGCTGCAGCTCTTTGAAGGCGCTGCCGTGGCGACCGACGTACGAAGACTTGTTCTTGACGACGTTACTGAGGTGTTTCAGCTGCTTAAAACAAACGCGGCATTTGTGGCGTCTGCGAGGAGACAGGGAGGAGACGGTGAGCTTACAACAGATGTCACTCATGTCTGATTTAGCTGAAGACTATTTACATTGAATCCCAGTTTGCTTTGTGCTTGTAATAATGCATCAGTTATATATAGCGCTTTTTTCTCCACTCACTGCAAAATAAAAACGTGATAAACAACTACTTTAGCCACAGCTGCCTTGGGACAGAATGACAGAATTGAGGAAACCAGTATATGCCCCTCCCACCACCAACAACCATTTACCCACACACAAGACTCATTCAAGGCAATGTGGGTGGAGTGACTTGCCTAAGGACACAGCTACAGTTTGGCATCTTACAGCCGCAGCCGTCCCACTGTGGCACCTGGTGTTCCCAGAGGTCTCCCATCACAGTCCTGACCTGGCCCTGCCCTTCTTAGTTTCAGCGGTGTGACAGGATCTGGCTTTAACATGCTAGATTGTAGATCATGGCTTTGTTGCACAGAGGAGGCACATGTCTATACCTCAGTGTGTAGGTGTAATATTTGGCTGCTGGATAAACTGCTGAGTGTGAGTGACCTTTCTTCTCGGGTGATGTCCACTCCCACCGACGGCGTGGCCTTCAGCGTGTCCGAGATCAGGGTCCAGAAGTGCCTCATGACGAGCTTCAGCGACGTGCATCCGGTCTGCATGTAGCTGCGGGGCACGACGACAGACATCAACTCAGGAAGTGCACAAGAAACACACTCCAAATGCAGACTTAAAGCCGGGATACAAGACTTTAAAACCACCAAAGTAGATCCTAGCTCTCAGTTTGGTACAGCTGGGAAAAATCAGATCTAGATCCAGTTTATTTGCCATTTGCAGTAAAACCCCATTGGAATACATGCGCAAAAGTTCCCCAGAGTGAGCCAGACAAGGCCATAAATAAAACAAGCTAAAAGCACAAGAAACAATCGTCATTCTGAAACCAATCAACAAAAACAGTTGAAAAGCATGTTGTTATTATCAGACTAATCTTATTGTGGTGAAGCATTAAGAACCATGTAAATCTTCACTGATTCAGAGACAAAATGGTCATTTTCTGTGGCATGTGCAGTAGTAGCAACTGCTTGTATCAAGTGGAGAACTAAGATGAATATATTTTTACATAATAGAGACTACAACGAGCTTAATTTTTTAGGAAAATATCTAAAAAAGAACAGAAAATGCCAAACGTCATCTCATACCAAGGTGTTCTTAGAAAAAAAAACTAAAATCAGGCTGAGCAATCTAGTTTTTATCTGGCCATAATTTTTTTCTAAAGAGTGTTTTTTCCTTGTCATTTCCTCGACTGGGACGGTTAGGACCAGGGTCTGGGACTGTTATGATCAGGGTCATCTATAAAGTAGTATTCGAGCTCTGTGTCCCAATGTTCGGCTGCGTTTGTTGCAGTCCAAACTTTTTTACCATTTAACAAATTATGGCAATGACAATAAAGGGTCATATTTCTCACCTCAAATGTTGTTAAAAAAAATAACGGATGAGGACGTGGCTTCTGTTGATCCCAGAGTGTATATATCTTACGAAATCAAACTATCCAAGTCATACGCTGTGTTGGAAATGGTACAACTATTACTCTGAGTGAAAACTAAAGTTGTGAAAAGCCCCTACGTTCCTGTTTTGTATGCGTGTGTTTGACAATGTACCTCTCGTATTTGCTCTGCAGCAGCTTCTCGATCTGCGGGAGAACAGTTGTGCATAAATCCAGCTTCCAGATGGACCTGAAACCACAGAGATGGAAGACGTTTGTGCTTTTTCCACTGTGAGCTTTGTGCTTTTGAAACTTTTCAGACTCACGGCTGCAGGTTGATGATGTTGAGGATGTCCACCAGGATGGCCAAGTCGTCCATAGAAACTGCAGAGTCCAGAGCTCTCTGTGACGCAAACGTTTAGAAAATGAGTTAATTTATCGGGAACCTTAATTCCTCTGACACCGAGCACGTGACAGAACAGTAAGAAGCACAGTCAAACGAGATAAATATGTGCCATCAATCCTGACAAAATATACATGTATATCTATTCATCTATCTACACATAAGATTTTGAGCTATTATTGCACTAAAAAAAGAAACTGAAAACTGCCCTAATACACTCATAGATGGAGTGACAAGACCTGGGACCATGGACGTCCCAAACATTAGCAGAAGTGACGAGTTCTGGTCAGTCCTGGTTCTCCTGGTCTGGTGCAGGTGTGCAGTGGTCCAGATTACAAGGGACACGAACATCCTCACAAAAGCCGGTCTTTCTGAAAGTTGTAGGTTCAAATTGTGTGTTGCTGTATTCAGTTTATTATTTATCTTTTGGTGTGCGCAAGTTTGATCAAATATGCAACACTATGTTTTTTGAGACTGGGGCTGGGTCTCTCTCAGAGCCTGTCCATACGATGCAGTTAGCGGTTTGAGAGTTTATTCACAGTCATGGCTGATACTGTGACGTCCTCGGGCTTCACCTTGATGCCTTCTCGGCCCCAGACGCCGCGCACCGTCTCCAGGTTCCTGTGTCGACTGCTGAGCATCAAACACATGGTGTCGTGGCCTTTCTTTATCTGGGACAGCGCCTCCTCTTCACTCAGGCCTCCGGGCCGGTTATGAGCCGAGGGCTGCAGCACAAGGGACAATGTTAGATTACATTTAGATTATTTATTTCAAAGCTGCACAACACACATATGGTTAAAAAGGGGTTGGACTCTCTCACACAAGAATCTAATCTAATTTTAAAAAGCAAGTGGTAGTGGCCAAAAAGTATGAAAGTGGTTTTCTTTTAAAATCATTATTTCTTTTACATATTTTAATTAGAGCTGGGACTCGATTAAAAAAATTCATCTAATTAGGAGGCGCTGTAATTAATTAATCTCGATCAATCATATTTTAATCGCATATGAGTATTTGTCCTGAGAACAGTGAGAAGTATTTTTTTTCACATGGATTTTTAGTTTACCATTGAATAATGACTGAATACATAAGCTGAAGCAACACATGTTCATTATGGAGGATAAGACGGACTTCTTTCCCATCCAATAACGTTTCTGTCATCGCCTCCACACACTCTACCCTTTAGGCGCCGAAGTTTATTCAAGAAAATAATTTTGATTTCAAGATTTCAAAAGGCTATAACTTTAAAATGGTTTGAGATAAAGGCATACAGTGAATATCTTCAGTTTGAACCAAACTTTAGGATGGAAGTTGATTCGTCATCTAATTTGAATATTGTGATGTCATCAATGTGGTGGCCATATTGGAAAATGTAAATTATTGTATAAAGATTTCAAAAAGCTGTAGCTTGGGAGTTTTTTTAGATCAGGGAATACTATCAACAGTAAATGTGAAATATCTTTAGTATGAAATGAATTTGGGATGGAAATAAATTTCCCTGATCCAGATTATAGATCATGTTTTAGCACATATGGGGCCATATGGAATTGAAGGTCTTTAAAAATAATACAGTGATCACGACAGCACTCTTTATAGATTACAGTCATGAAATCTGGAAATTGGTTTCAATTAGGGCTGGGACAACGCGTCGACGTAATCGGTGACGTCGACGCAAAAAATACACCGACGTATAATATGCGCGTCGGTGCGTCACACACAAAACAAAGATGGCGGCGAGCGGTAGCAATGCAAGTGCCGTGTTAGAGAAGTGCAAGCCGGTGTAACGCTGAGATACACTGCCTTGAAGAGATGCACAGCCTCAGCTGTTTATCATGTAATGCAAACCTGCGTATGCGCGTCTCACGGCAGCCGAAGGAAACCAAGATGGCGGACCGTGAATTTCTTTAAAAGTTAAAATACGAACGAATTCAGACACGAATGTCACTTTTAATGCAATTTGAGGCGAGATGTTGATGGTTCCGTTTTGTCACATGTGGGTTTTAAGAGTCAAAGTTTCGTGCAAAGTTTAGTTTAAGCAGTCAACTGGTCCTGTGAAACCACAAAGCTAATGTTTTCATAGCAGTCCGCAGCTGCTGACGTAGGCTGATGACGCGTCCTGTGGCCACTCTACACTCTTATGTAGCCATGACAGGCTGATGGCTCCCACTGTTTTTGCTGGAAAAGCACTCTTTGTTTAGCTTAAAGCCTTCAAGTTTACATTGGTTACTGTTTTCTTTTAGTTGCTCTACACAAGTATTTGGCTGAACTTTTTCATATTTTTATTGAATGCTAAGCATCAAATGTTTGTTTCAAGAATGATAAGATGCACTTTTTTCAGTAAGCTGTGTTTTCAAGGCTTTAAGGTTTTATGCTACCTCTAAGAATGTCTTATTTTTTAATTTTAAGAGCAAGCAATACATATTTTTTGTGAAGGAATTCATGTTTTTTTCATTAAAATATTTAAATCAACATGTATACATCAATATTAGTCAATTAATGGGGAGATAATCGAGAATCGAATCGAATCGAAATCGAATCGAAGCGAAAAAAATAATCGTTAGATTAATCGATGCATCGAAAAAATAATCGCTAGATTAATCGTTTACAAAATAATCGTTTATCCCAGCCCTAGTTTCAATATTTCCCTTTCAAAGAAGTGGTGGGCATACTATTTTTCTCAGTGGAAATGAGGCTCCAGGATTTATCGTTTAGAAACAGAGAGATGAAATGAATGGGCTCAGAACTTGTCAGATCGCCTCAACAATAACAACAAGCTCTTAAACACTTCTGATTCACTTTTGTGGATTATTTTCTCTCAAGAACTGCCTTCATCCTCATCATTGCCGTTGGAAAAGGCAGTGAACGTGATTAGTGATGTGTTTTTTGTTTTGTTTTTTTACCGCAGCTTCTGCCGCGTCTCCCGTGGATGTTTACCCCCGCTACTCTCTCCCACATGGCCGGTGTTTTGACCCCCCTGTCCCCTCCACCGCGGCCCCTGCTTGGCGTTCGCGTGGTGCTTCTACCGTGGGTCCGCGTAGGTGAAGCAGCCGCTGTAAAGGGGCTGATTGTGGACTATGGAGCGCGGTCTTCCTCCTCTGAATCTGAGTGAGCCAGTACCAGATCAAGAACTTCTCTGGTACTGAAGACCTCGTGAGTAAAAGAAAAAACACTCTTTCCCTCTGCTCTGCTCTCGCTCTGCTCAGTAAAACTCAGTAATAGCAGCTCACACACCTGTCTCGCTGCTCCTCCTCTTCGCTCTTTCCTGTCTCTAAACTCACTCTTACAGTTGGTCTATGCTTGTTATAATGTACTTTTGAACAAGAAAAGTCACGGAGCTCAGTTGGCGCTCCAGTATAATCGGTCCGTCTGAAACTCATCCTCCAGTTCCCCAGTGGAAAATACACATGCGATTAAAATGCGTCAATCTTTTTTTTTAACGCACTAATTCTGTTGCGTTAATTAATCGTAATTAACGCGTTCAAGTCCCGGCCCTAATTGTTATTCATGAGTTGTTATTCAAGAGATGTAATTGAAGACTGATAGTTAACCATTAAAAATATATCCGTAACGACAATTTTAATTTACTCATTTAAAGTTATTGAGGATTTTCCCAGTGGTTATGGTGATATTTCCTTCTCATAATTTTTTGGCCGTTGTACAAAGCCCTAGTCACTACTTCCTGCTGCAAAACAGTTTGCTTATATCACTAGTTTGTAGGATCCCTCTCACTATATGGTTGTAATCAAAGATGTATTTTTTTAATGGTGGCATGTTTTGGTCTGGTTTGGAGGAAAATTTGCTTTTGCAAATCTGAAGACTAGATGATACGCACGGGCAGGAAGTCGGCCACGTTAAGTCCGATAGGTTGGTTCCTGGAGCTGGGTATGATTTTGGGCGCTTGGTGCTTCTGTGGCGCGGAGCTGTGTGGTTTGGTTTTGGTGACGGCTGGAGCAGAGGGAGCGGAGAGAGCGGTGGGAGCAGAGGGAGCAGGAGGAGGCCAGGCCGTGGGAGGCTCAGCTGGGGGAGGAACCCGCTTTGCACACAACACCACTGTGGGCTCCACTCTCTGCACAGGAGTGGACTGAGCGATGGGAGAGACCTGAGGGGAAACAGCGTTAGTAAAGGTTTTCTCTTCGCCTCATATTTTAGAGAACATACAGTGAGACAAAAAATATATATATATGTCAGCCGCTAATTGTGAAACTCCTCCCACTTAAAATAAAAAGACATTCCTATATTTTTTTTATGGTATGGTAGACATCAACTATGAGATACAACATGAGCTCTGGTCTCTCCCTCGCTCTGGTCTCTCCCTCTCTCTGGTCTCTCCCTCTCTCTGGTCTCTCCCTCTCTCTGGTCTCTCCCTCTCTCCGGTCTCTCCCTCTCTGGTCTATCCAAGAATCAATTCTCCAAATACTTGAATAAGACATCAAAAGGAAAACGTGTGTTCCATTCTGACCTGCTGTTTTTCAGCAAACGGAGCGATTCCTTTCATTTTGCTACTTATTCCCAGGACAGAGTCTGTGAAATAAAACCATAGAAAAGCAGCCATTATTTCAGGCAGATTGTAGAAGTGACTGCACATTGAGCTGATGTTCAGCTGATCTCACCGTCTTCAGGGGGAGCAGGGAAAGGTTCCGGAAACTTTGGAGGTGTTCGAGCTGCGAAAGAAAAGTACAGTGGTTACTTCCGTTCTTGGGTAATGTCTATAGTTCAACATTTCGGTAGAGGGCAGCTTTATTGCACAAATGATACTTCAGCTTTTTAAATGTTTGTGCATTTCATGTCTTTTTGCACACCCTGAGTGATCCTATTTATGCCAAATTGAAATGTAAACTAATCAAAAAGTTTGATCTTATCTGGTAACTTACAGATGTCGTTTCTGGGCTGGAAGATCTCCTTGTAATCGTCAGCGTTGTGGATTTCAGCTGAAGACACTTTCTCGTCTCCTTCGTCTTCACTGGGACTGCGCCGCTCTCCCTCGGGACTGCGGCGGTCACTCTCTGAATTCTGCTTCACCCTGAGAACGTGTACAAAGCGTAAGAAGAGGCAGGGTTTGTGTTTCCCTTTTACATAGGATATTTCCTAGTAACTTGTGTGTTGTCACAGAAATCACATCTTCAGGTTCAGGACAATCCCCAAATTTGCACCCAGTGAAGTGCTTAATATGATGTTGATGTGACCTATCATAAGTTTATTAGAAAGCGCGGTCTCCTTATCTATGCACGGTCTCTTTACCTGTGCGCGACTTCCTTACCAGTGCTCGGCCTCCTTACCTGGGCGCGGTCTCCTTACCTGGGCGCGGTCTCCTTACCTGGGCGCGGTCTCCTTACCTGGGCGCGGTCTCCTTACCTGGGCGCGGTCTCCTTACCTGGGCGCGGTCTCTTTACCTGGGCGTGGTCTCCTTACCTGGGCGTGGTCTCCTTATCTATGCGTGGCCTCCTTACCTGTGCGCCGTGGGGCCTGGTTTGTCGTAGCTGCGTCTCAGAGCTGCAGTCTTGGGTTCGCTCGGGGCGGACAGAGGCTGGTTGTCCTGGATGATGTCCTGGATCACGGCTCCTCCGCTCCGCTTGACACGCGTGAGATCCACAACAAACGTGGAGACAGTGGAGAGCTGATGCGACACTCCGATCTGAAGGAGGAGACCGTGTGAACACGTCAAACACAAACCCAAGCTTCTTTATACTTTTAATACTTCATAGTTGTGTTAAACTATTGCACAATGACATGGGGAGATTTGCTTCGTGGATTTTTTGGTTCTTGTCAATTTTCCTTCATCTAAAAGTAGACGACAGTCTTTGCATCAAAAAAACGATGGTCACTCGTTTTTCAAGGGGGTTACGTTCTAAAAATATATAAATATAATAAGAAATCCTCTCAGTAACAGCAGTATGTTTTAGGGCTGTAAGACCCCTCACACACACATTATACGGGAAGACCACTGTTGTCCTTAGAAACGTAGCACTGCGATGCACACAAGCCACAAGTGTAAAATATTGCGTACAAGGCAACAGTGGAAGAGAGCCCCAGTCACTCCTCGTCTTTCACTGGGATTGGCTAAACCCTTATCAACAGTTTGTTGAAAAAAATATTGCTTTGTGCCATCAGCTATTTTGCTTGGTTAAAGAAAACTCTGATCATTTTTTCCCCAGATCCCCCAGGCCTGAAGAGAAGACCTTGGCAATGCTTTCAGCTAATGGGATCCATATAAGTAAGCAAACCCTCAGCTAGTCTAAGGTGGTCTTGTAGTGGTCAGGGCCGAGTCTCCTCTGTGCTCCTCACCAGTTGTTGGTTGCAGATGGACAGATCCGACACTTTGCTCCAGCCGACAGACACCACGTCGAAGCAGCGGTCCGGTTCCCACCCGAACACCCGGAGCGTGTCGGAGGAGCCGCTGTACAGACAGGAGCCGTCTGGACTGAAGAACACACATCTGAGGAGCAGAGAGGAAACAGGGCTAAAGAGACACAGTGGAATGTTAAGCAGGAGAGACCCAAACACGCACGCAAGAGACAAAAAGCTATTCTAATGCAAAAGTCATCATTTGGGCCAGAATGAAACATCATGCTCACTTCTAAGGTTACGTTCAAGTCCAAATGTTGCCTTGCCCAAGAGTAGCAAACCAAAAGTAGTCTTTGAGATCATAAACACAGCAAGAGCTTTGTTCACTTTTGGGTCTAAAATAGCTAAGGCCAAAACTACGAGTGTGTGAAAAAACTGTAGTATGTCTGTATCCATAAATGTCTCTTGAAAAACTGGCCTTCTGTCAAAACCACAACAGAAATGGTTCACAGTGAAAGCAAAAATGTAGAAACAATTAAATGAAATGTTTTTCTCCTAGAGGGGTTGATCTCTGGAATGGATGCAGATGAACTTAAATCATGTAATTAACTTTTCCAAACTATCACTTTGGATGGCTACATGAATTCAGAATCCCAATGTTTATACAGTTGCTTTTATAAATTCAATGACAACGGCAAAATAGGTTTCAGCCTACACCTTTTTGGTCTTTCTTTCTGCTGAAAAGTTACTGCTCTGTAACAGTGTATGTAAATGTGCAAGTGGCCAAAATAAAAAACGTCATATATCCCATCTCTGCTCACAGACCTGACGGCGCTGGTGTCTCCCTCCAATGATCCGACCATCGTGAACTTCTCCAGGTCCCACAGCTTCACCGTCCTGCCACAACAAACGCGTTACATACTGAAAGCACCATTTTGTGAGGTCTTCAACAACTGGCCATTTGAAATTACGTTCTTTACAATCGCATGTCTGTTTGCATCGGGAGTTACAGGTGGTGCTTACCGGTCTGCGCTCCCAGAGGCTAGGAGATACTCGCTCGGGTGAAACTGGACGATGTTGACTGCTCCCGTGTGAGACTTGAACTCCGTGATGACTTTACCCAAGCCCAGGTCCCACAGCTGCAGGAACAAAACACTCAGGTTATACATGTTATACCAGTGTGCCATGGGATGTTAGTGTGCCATGAAGTGTTATTTGTTGTGCCTTGGGAAATTATACAATATCACCTATCCAGATAGTGTAAAATATAAAAAAAAGAAGATTTGAAATACTTGTTTGCACTTCTTTGATTTTCTACATAATACACTTTGATGAAGGTTACTTTGTTTTGTTAATAAAGGCTGCAGAGTTATGTTTGGATCAGTTTCAGCTGGTGATGTGCCATGTGATTGTTTTGAATGAAAAAGGTGTGTCACGGCTCAAAAAACACTATAACACTATAACATGAACATGTTGTATATATGTATACTATACTCTGCCTGTACTGTATACTCCAACAACATCATATACAACACATATATAACCACTGGTATAACATGACAGTTACCTTCAATTGAAGTCAGAAGAAAACATGTGGTCTCTCTCTCTCTGTCTGTCTTTGGCATCTATCTATTGTCTCTATTTTACACTATGCATGGCTTTTGACAGCTGCAGCAGCACCCAGACCTCCGCACTACCTCACACTTCAGCAGTCGTGCGTTCAGATGGTGAGAAACGTGTATAAAGTGTGGGTGAGGGGTTTTACAGCCTTAAAACATACCAGCTGCTACGGATTTCACTTATGTGGATTTTTTTTTTCTGTTTGGCATGTGCAATAGTATGTAGTGATATTAGTTTGTATTTGAATGTATTTATTCTAAATCAAGGAAACAGACTACACTACGCTCACAGTGATATCTCCCAAAAGAAACAGGAGCTCTGTAAGTGCCATGTCCAGAGTATGCTGCATGCTTTTAATCTGATTAACATTTTTCTCCATCATTCTTAAGCTCTCTGAGCCACTAAAACATACAGAAGACAAACTGGCAACACTTTTGGCACGAGTTGGGCAAAAATATAATAATGGGTGTTAATATGCAGTTATATAGATGATTTTCTATAAACTATTTACTGTGAAATCTGTTAAGAGTTTCAGAACATTGATGGTTTGACCAATTAATGTCTGCTGTAGAATTCCATTTCAGTTGGAGAGCAGGTGAGGAGAGGAGAGAGAGAAGAGAAGAGAGAGGAGAGAGAAGAGGAGAGAGATTGCACATTCCACAGTATGTGAAGCGAGAAGCTGCTAGTGGTGGCGCTGCTCATCGCAGAGTGTTGCACTTTGAACTCTGAGCCTGATCTCACATACTCAGCGTCTGCGCTAAAGGACTTTGCGTCTTCCTCCTCGTCAAAAGAAATAAGTCAGCCTAACTGGCGCTACTGTGAGCGGAAACTTCTTTGTTTATTCTCAGCTGCTCTACATCCTGGGGTTAGATCCTAAACAGATTCCCCCGAGTGAGAGCTGTGTTCATGATACCAACATGTTACATGCTCTGTGGTGTTCTTTTTAGATCATAAACAACATGAAAGAATTATCTGGTATGATCTTCATGGTATAACTTCCACAACAAATTTAAGAACAGTTCTGCTCGAGCATAATAACAGTAAAACAAAAGTAACAAGTAACGTTATTGGTAGAAACGAGTAAAGTAACTTAGTTACTCTCTAAAGAAGTAAAGTAACAGGTTACTCTTTAAAAGAAGTAACGAGAGAAGTGACTTTTTAAAAGATAAGATAAGAATTCCTTTATTCGTCCCACAGTGGGGAAATTTCAATGTTGCATCGCACATACAGGACAGTAGTAAGAGCACACAGGGATCACACACAATATATACAAATAAGTAGTAGCTATGTTTCTTAGCTAACATAACTAGCTGTAGATGCTGAAAATGCTTCAATACCAGTCAAAATATATATATATGTAGTAGTAGTGCAGTTATATACTGTACAGTTAAATAGTGCAGGATAATAAGTAGATAAGTAAAGTGACATGAGGTAAAGTAACTTCCCCAACACTGACCTTCACTACACAGTCGTCACTCGCTGAAGCCAACCACCTCCCATCAGGACTGAAGGCCAGACTCCTCACAGCGTCAGAGTGACCCTGAGGACAACAGCACACTCCACATTCATGGTTCAGCAACAACTGCTTTCACTTCATCTAAGGATAGAAAACTGCCAAAAAACCATCATATTAACTGTCCCTTAAAGGAATGGCCTGTTGGAACAGTCTATGGTTGGAAACAGTACATAAAAAATCTAGTTGTTTGATTAATAAGTACCAGTAGTCTAAGAGAGATCCCATCTCTCATTTTTCAATCAATCCTCCTCTAGTCTGGTACTGGTCCTCTCCTGTCCTTCTCCTAGTGTTGTACTGGTCCTCTCCTGTCCTTCTCCTAGTGTTGTACTGGTCCTCTCCTGTCCTTCTCCTAGTGTTATACTGGTCCTCTCCTGTCTTCTGTCTAGTTTTCATACACATTACACTTTGATTGGTTGAAAATAAAGCTTTCTAAAGAGTAATACTATTATCATTTATGCGTTTATATTTTCGTTTGGACTTTCATACGCCAAAACAAACACAGATTTTCCTAGCCCCTTTTTTGCACACAGGATTAGTTGAAGCATTGCGAATCATCATTCAAAGTATAAAAACAAAATTGCAAAATTAAATGAGAATGCAGAATGTAAATTAACCAAAGATTTTGTTTTTAGTCAATACTTTTGCTTTCTGAAATTTCCCCACTGTGGGATGAATAAAGGATCTCTTAATCTTAATACTGCAATTTTGTTCATTAATTTTAATAGGACACAGAAAAGATACCAACAAGTATAGAGGCCAATTACTGTTCAATACAAAAGCCTGTACAGACCTGATATCTGAAAATGTACCCTTTCTTCCGGACGTCCCAAAGCTGGAATAGCAGATAAATGTAAATTAAGTCCATAATATTGGTCACGTTCATCTCATTATGTCATAAATGTGTCGAAGCACCTCTCCTCACCTTAATGTTGGTGTCTATAGAACTAGAGGCCAGGAAGTTGTCTGAGAGCGGGTGACAGCCCAGACTGGTGATGTTTGCTTTGTGTCCCATTAAAGTGCGTGAAACTGGAGACAGAAACAGATCTGGTTCATCTCCTCCAATCAGAGACCGAGAAGAGACTTATGCCATTTGTACCACATACAGATGGACAATGGTACCCCGCTAGCTCAATATGGCCCTTTGATTGGTTCCTATTGGCTGACAGAAAGTACATTCCTTTCCTAACTGTCTATAAAACAACCGTGTATTGATTGTACTTAATATGGTTGGGAATACCAGCCAAAGTTTATTGACAAAAATCATAACCCTCTTTTTTCTGGGTTCTGACAAATCTCCATTAAAAACTCAAATGCTGAACAAGAAGTCCTTTGGATTAAGAACGAAACGTTGGGAAAACCTGCTAAGAAGTACAGATGATGGGTGAGAAACCTTCCTTTGCTTTGACTAATCCCTGTATGACTGAGGGCTTACACAAAGTTAATGGGTGAACTATGACGATGAATCTAATGCAATAGAGGGGATTGTTTAGGGCTGCTTTACAGATACTCGACTCACGTTTGGCGCTCTCCAGGTCCCATATCTTAATGGATCCGGACTTGGACCCGGCCACCACCTTCTCCTCCGTGGTGTTCAGCTGCAGACACTCCACCGGACTCTTGCTTCCCGTCAAACTCTGAACGAAAGGAAAAATATTTATACAATCATGACAAGAACTAGTTCAATAAAAGCTGGGACACCTACATTTCAAACCACAAAATATGTATATGATGAAATCAAACTGATTTTTTTGGGTCTCAAAACAGTTGGCATGTATTCTTGGCCTCTTTTTCACATAGAAAAGTGAAAAAGATAACCACCCTCACTCAACCAATTCTCTCTCTCTCTATATATATATATCGTTCCTCTCTCTATCTGGTCCCTCTCTCTCGTTCCTCTCTCTCTCGTCCCCCTTTCTCTGGTTCCTCTCTCTCTCTCGTTCCTCTTTCTATCGTTCCTCTCTCTATCAGGTCCCTCTCTCTCTCGTTCCTCTCTCTCTAGTTCCTCTCTCTCTAGTTCCTCTCTCTCTAGTTCCTCTCTCTCTAGTTCCTCTCTCTCTAGTTCCTCTCTCTCTAGTTCCTCTCTGGTCTGATTTGCTCACAAGACTCTCTCTGTTCGGACGAAATACCAAGATCTTAGCGAGTCCCGGTAACGTGGTGCTCAAGGTGCTGTGTGAGACTGAGGCATTATACCATGATGCAGTTGGCTTTGCTGACCGCCCAGATGTTCACCCTGCAGTCCTCTCCTCCGGTGGCCAGGAGACGACCGGAACTTTTCCCTAGAGACAGACACGACACGCTGCTGGTGTGCGCCTCGAACTCTTCTGAAAAATAGTTAAATTGGATTGTATTTCAAAAACTCTACACAAACACACACTTGCATGGTACAAAACAACAGACACAGATGTATGTATCGTACTTTCTGGACTATAAGGCGCACTTATATATAATACGCACCACCTTAATTTGAAAAGAAAATCATTATTGTCCACACATAGGCTGCAGGTTTTCATGTTGTAATGTAGCAGATAGACGAATGTTTTAACTGGTCACAACATTATTTAATGACGAGGTGTTTAGTAGGCCTGTCGCGATAGTCAATAAATCAATTAATCGCACGATAAATAAAATTTGCTCAATAACTTTTCTGGCCGCGATAAATCCCATTTGCATGCTTGTTCGTTTCCCCCGTCTCTCTCGGGTCAGAGAGCCGCAAAGTGGTCACGGGAACATTAGCGGTCTAGCAAGCAGACGGAAATTACTCAAAAATACAAAATACAGCCAAAACAGGACCTAAACCAGGACTTAACCAGGATTGACAATGGGGGACACAGTAGTTGTGAACATATGCCGGCAGCTGAGTTCTCATTCAGGCTTGATTATTGTTTTTGGTTGTTTGTTAATTTATTGTGTTCTAGCGTTAAATATTCGTTAAAAATAAAAGTTTATTCTCTTTGAAAAGGTGTACTTGCATTATCATTCTAATCGATGCAAATGATCTCAGAACGACAATATAATCGCTTATCGCAATAATTTCTGAGACAATTAATCGTCCAGCAAAATTTGTTATCGTGACTAGTGTTTAGCTTAACCGTTAGCTTCCAAGACTCATTCACCTTCATCTAATTTGACAATTAACAGGTGTCATGTCGCCACTAAAACTTTGAGTCAAAATAATAAGTCCATAAACTGCCCTGAAAACTCTAGCACAATAAAAATACACATATTAGCAACATCCCTATACAAGCCACAGGGGAAAAAAACAAGGAAAACGTAGCGGCTGATAGTCCAGAAATTACGCTACATTCTTTGAAAAGGGGCCCAAACACTCTCTGATCCAAAGCACACAACAGTCAGTAAAAGTTGTTTTCGGTGTTTGTCATAATTTATTACAGCAGCATTTGAGACTTCTGTGGTAATACCAGTTTCTCACCATCCAACATGTTTACCCAGTACCAGTCCTCCTTTAGTCCATCTTGGCCCTGGTTCTATCCAGGCCCAGCTAACACTAAAGTGTTCTAACTGACAGTGATTGGCCAAAGACGTGCTGCTTTTAAGCCATGGTTACCACAGATTTTCTGTGGGACTGGTTTGTTCTGAGTAGGTTGCTTGGATACCGTACCAGACACTGAAAATGAATAGAAATACAACCAGGTAGAGAAGGGCAGAACCGAGTAGAGTAGAGCCGAGTAGGGCTGGCAGAAACTATTCCATGATAGGGAATTGTCTTTGTAATTCCGAATATGAATAAGGGACAGATAAGGAATGACCAATAAGATGCCACATTGTTAATAAATGTACTCACGCAGCCTCCATGAGATCTTTGTGGAGCCAACAGCCGCCATCTTGAATCTGGACAAAGTTACACCATCAGGGAAGAAACAAAAAGGCCTCTGCTCACGTATGGACTCTCCACCTGCAAAAACAATATAACATAACAATGCAATGTGGCAACCCAGGAAATTATAGCACAATTAGTGGTCTGTCTGAAATGTGAGGGGCTGATGTTGAGGTATTGACCAAAGGTAAAAATCAACCAAACATCCTCACTGGTCCCCAGCTCATTGTAGATCTATCAATCTATCTATAGCCATAAACCATTTCCTACTAGGAAGGTGGTTGACTACAGTAAGTAAGTTAGAAAGTCATCTCTTGTAAAATGTGTGTATGGTTTGGTTTTCAAGGCATGAACAATGCAGTAATCAAGTCCAGTTTACACTTTATTGGTGGTAGGAACAATGGAATAATGTGAAGAGAAGTGGAGAGGTGGTTTATTCAAGCAAAAATAAGGGGAAAATAAACTGGGTAAGTGCATTGACTCTAGCAGACATGTCCACCTAAGGCCGGGGCAATTGAGGCCTGCTGTGTCATTTTCACAACATTATCTTGTGGAATCATAAAAATACATAATGTGTCATCCAGCCAACTTCATCACAACCAATACAGACATGTATTTGTGATCATGGCTCAGCTCAGAACATCCTGAATCGAATCAAATCAATCTGGATCAGGAAAAGTCTGGTGAACTAAGTGGCCCTTGCACTAAAAAGTTTGGACACCCATGGACAATAAGGAACATCTTCTATATATGTTCTTCCCTTTCCTGCATGCCAGAAAGGTGGAAAACAAAACTAAATCGGTGATAGAACCAATCTGTCTTGAGAAATAGGAACATGGATGTATTTTCTTCCATTTTAAAGTTGGTTTGTCGGTTAGGGAGCCCAGCCCAGCTTTCATGCCTCTTCTATCTGCTCTTAATCTCTGGTTCGGTTTAATGACAGCTCAACTTCCATAAGCTGATGAAGATACGTAAACAAAGTTAGCTAAACAATTAATCAAGCTAACTAGTAAGGCTAACGCTAGGTGAAGAATCTCTGCATTACTTTAGATAGATAGCGTTAAATCAAGCTTCTTACATTAAATTAAAATGCATTCTATTTGCTAACTACCTGAGCCTATCAAGCCAAAAGACAGTTTACTACAGCTAAACAAATACACGCAGTTAATCGTGTAGGAACGAACATGTAATTCATCTGCTGTCAAAGCGAGTCTGCCCATGTTTACGTTTACGCGACCCCCGCTCTGTGCAGCAGCTCTAGGGTTAGTTCGCTATTTAGCAAACTTTTATTACAATTACCAGCTCTTGTTTACATAAAAGTATACGGTGGGCTTTACCTACGAGTCCTGGGTGCGGTCTACCATCGGGAAGGTAGTGAAGTTGTGTTTTCTGTTGGTTAGAATGAATATTTGGTGGCGAAAAGCTTCGGATGTCACTTGTTGACGGCTGTGACTGCTCCGTGCAGCTTAGCAACCGGACAGCCACGTACGTCACGTCCGAGGTGCGCGGGTCGGCTATAGCGCCCCCTGGTGTGGGAGTTACGCACATTACACGAAAAATATAATGAGAAAATGGAGAAAATAAGAGAACGCACAGTATCTATGATTTAAGATGATAGATATTATAATAATATAATAATAAATACATAAGTAAATAAATACATAAATAAATAAATACATAATCAAACTCATTACATGCTCAATAGTTGCATTTTGTTCAAGGATAAGTCACTTGAGGAGTACACACTGTCGTCAGCAGCGTGAGGTGTTTGCAGATGATTGGTTTTGTACTTCAGAAGCAGAGAATATGATCAGAATAAACAGTGATAACAGTGATAACAGTACAAATAGCAGCAGGTGAAGTGTGGATTAAGATAAAATGAGATAAGATAAACCTTTATTAGTCTCACAGTGGAGAAATTTCAGTGTCATCGTTGCACACATTACAGCAGAGAGAGGAAATAAGAGCACTCAGATTGCACACACCAAATAGTCTATTATTTAAGATAATAGACAATAAAATTAAGATAAGAATAAAATAAACGAACGGCCCTCGCCGCACCGCGCGCACCACACCGCGCGCACCACCCCGCCCAGCACCAAGCCGCCCCGCATCAAGCAGCACCAAGCCGCATCAAGCCGTCCCGCACCGAGCCGCCATGCATCAAGCAGCACCAAGCCGCATCAAGCCGCCCCGCACCACGCCGCCCCGCACCACGCCGCCCCGCACCAAGCCGCAACGCGCCGCTCCACAACCCCCCGCACTACGCCGCACCACACCGTACCACGCAGCACCGTGCAACGAAGGTGGGACCGCCGTGTGATGATTTGTTGCTGTTGCTATAGAAGAACGTTAGTCAAATTGTAATGAATATGATGATTAGAGCTGTTTGGCACCCCATGTAAAACTTTGCCTCAATCTGTAGGGGGCGCTATTGGGCCAATTTCAAATATTTCACTTTCACCTGACCTAAACCCTGGAGTTGAACATTGGATTCAAGTTTTGTGCAAATCGGAATTTGTATGTGTAAACGGGAGCAAATAGAATGTTGTGAAAAACGGTCAATAAACACTCACATTTTGCTGCTCCGCTGCTCAAACAACGTTTCACTGATCAAAAATCCATGAGGTCATTTTGATGGTACATGTGTTTAGACATTGTGGAGTGATATGGAGGCCAATCGGTGAAACGGCCGAGGAGGAGTCGCTTTCCAACCGACATGTATAAAAATGATTGCGGATCATTTTTCCATTTTGCAGTGAAATTTATGGGCCTCCTGTTTGTCAGAGGGCGGAGCCATAATAACATTTTGGTCTTATCTTGACTTGAGGAACATGTGTACCGAATTTCATGGCTCTACGACAAACTTGACCTCTGAAACTCCCATTGGCTGTTGTAGGTGGCGCTGTTCTGGCATTTTTTGAGTCCCATAAAAATAAACACCCAAATATCAAATTTTTCACCAGGTCTGATGTTTGGGCAAAATTTTACAACTTTTCATGCATGTTCAGGGGGTGAAATTAAGGCTCAAAGTGCAGAATTTGACATCTCTCGAGCAAAAACAATAGGCCCTTTCCCCGTTCGGGGCTCGGGCCTAATGAGAAAAACTCTGGGCTATAATTGCACTTGGTTCGGAACTATTTACAGATGTCTATATTACATTAGCAGCGGAGAATATGAGAATATGAACATGAGCAGAATAAACATCAGAAATAATATCAACAGGTAAAGTGACTGGTGAAAGGCAGAAATATCAGATACGTAATAATACAGTAGTACTGAGAACAGGTAAAGTGACAAGTGACAAAGTTACTGGTGAATTATCAGTGACTGATTAGCAGTTCCTAGTGAATTATCAGTGACTGATTATCAGTTCCTGTTACACATTCTCGTTATCAAATACAAACATTAATACTCAAATAGATACACACAAAAATCTATAAATAAACAATGTAAACAAATTCATGATATAGTAAACATGAAAAATAAACAAGGCAATGATTCAAACCATAAACACTCACAATCATTTTTGTGCAGGGCAGGGCCTGGGTAGTACTGTGATGGGAGATCTCTGCAAATACCAAACTGCTGCTGCGTCCTTAGGCAAGACACTTCACCCATTGACAAGTGTGGTGTGTGCATGAAATGTTGGTGGTGGTGGTGGGAGGGGCTGTGATTGCAATATTATTATATGGTTCATGTCTGGATTTACAAGAATAAAATCAAATCATAAACCTCAAAAAAGAGAGCCTGTGTGTGACACAAGCGGTTACTGAACAAAAGGGGTTAACTTTTTAATTTAAAGGTATGCAAGAGGATTTTCAACTTCCGAGTGGATCATCAAGACAATTGGCCCTCCCAATTGTCAATAATTCTTGTGATACGTGCTGGTCAACGACTAGAAAGTTTTGCTTAAAGCAAGGAAGATGAGTGCTGCAGAGGGTGTGAGTAGTAAAAGGCTCAACAAAAGGCAATCTAAGCAGATTTAGGATGTCAAAAATAGAAAAAGAAGTCTGAGGCACTCTGTTTTAGTGAAAAAATAAAAGTCCTTTATTGAATTAGACTGAATTGGAGTCCAATTCAATAAAGGACTTTTATTTTTTCACTAAAACAGACTGCCTCAGACTTCTTTTTCTTTTTTTGACTATAAAGTTTTGTTCAAAAAGTGGAGAGGGTGGCTCTTTCCTAAAATGTGGGAAAGACCTCCTATATACCTTTCAGTCAATAGGAGCTAAAGAGAGTTCACACAAAACTTCCATATTCCCTTTCTTAAGCGAGAATTGTCCATCCATATACAGTCTGTGATTTCAAGCTGAGCTCAAATTCAGGTACAGCCCATCATGTCAGCATTCAGTGTTTCTGCAAGTGTCCAGCAGGTGTCAGTATTTCCACAGTGTGTTTTATCATAACACAGACGGAGAAGCCTGAGATGCAGGAAGTCCTCTCGCAGGTGAAATTATGACCTCAGTTTATACTATTTACGTCTTATAACATACTTATAGCAGCATGTATCTACACGTATCAAACACGCGGTTACATTTACACACTTTAACCTGTTTATTGCATTGTTTAGGTGGAATAAATTGGAAAAAGAGGGATCCAAGATGGCGGCGGTGGCTGTGGTTGACGTGGAGGACGAGAGCATCTTGGCATCTGTGTTTAAAGTGCGTGTGACTGCTTTGAATTGTTCTGCAAGACTGCTTTTCTCTGGGATAAGCAACTATTTAAAGTAGATTTACAATAGTCAAATGACATTTTTAACATTTATGGACAGTGGTCACTCAGCACCCTATGGACCTATGGCTCCTATGTTTTTGTTATTATTGCATTTCCTGTGTTTGAACTGATATTTACAGTCTATGGCTCGAATTGTTTGATTATCTGATCTGTTGTTGGTGAATTGGCAACTTTGTAAAGTCCTCGGAGACGACTACTGTTGTGAATTTGGGGCGATACACAAATAAATGTAAGAGTTCTAATGTGATGCCTACATGTCATCGAATTCTAGTCAATTTTCGAATATAAATGTCATGTGTCTTTGGCAATAAGTGCCATTAGTAAAATATTTGAAAGTGTTACTATTTTCCCGTCACCAAGTAGTTTTGTGAAAACCAGATCTATTTTACACCTTCTTGAACAAATCCTTTCATATTTGCTGACAAGTGAGGAAAAACACTTATGACACATTTTCACAATAGAGATATGTTTGGCAATGAGCTCTTTATTTGACCAACAATATAAAGGTTCATAATATAATATAAACTGTCTAATATTACTGCTTCTCATCGTTCAGGCAGCAAGATGGTTTGTTAGAACTGGTCTTAACTGGGCCTTTCTGAGTAGAGTTTGTTCTCCCTGTGTCTGAGTATGTTTCCTCCAGGTGCTCTGATTTTTAGTTAAATCCTTAATTATCTATTACAGATAATTAAGAGTAGGAGAAAAATACACAAAAATAGAGTTTACAGTGGTCTAAATAACCCAGGGCTGGTCAAGTTAGGAAAAGTTATCAAAATTTAGCCCAAAGGAGCTGAGGATAGCACAAGGGTATGTCCATGTTATCCATGTTTTAGTGCAGTGTCTCCCAAAGTGGGGTCCGCGGCCCCCTGGTGGGCCGCGAGGGTACTGCAGGGGGGCCGCGGGAGGTCATAAAAAAAAATAAAAAAATAATATAATTATTTAATGTTAAATTTATAATGTTTTGTTTGTAATATTAAAATATTTGTGTTCATTATTTGACTTGAATAATCCACTGTAATCATTTTTGTATTACAATGTTTGTAGCAGAGGCTATTTCCCCAAAATAAAATAACCAGAAGAGCCTATTCTTAATGTTGTCTTCTTGGTTATTATTTTGGGGGGCCACGCAGACCCGTCAGATTTTTAAGGGGGCCTCGGTGTTACTGAGTTTGGGAATGGCTGTTTTAGTGAATTCGTTTAACCTCCCCTTTGGGTCTTCAGGACAGTTTCCCGGAAAGCTGGAGGGACAACCCGGACTTTGCGGCTTATCTGTCTGAACTGAGCTCGTTCGGGTTGGAGAAGCTTCGCAGAGAGCCAGAGAGACTGGCAGAGGACAGGGCCCAGATCCTGCATCAGACCCGGGACCTGGCCTTCTCCAACTACCAGACGTTCATCCGGAGCGCGGACTGTACCCATCACATCTACAAGGACTTCGGGCGAGTGGAGAGCAGCGTGTGCCATCTGCTGGAGACTCTACCACGCTTCGGAGAGAAATGCAGGTATACAGACCAGACTTAGACCCCTTCCCAATTCTGAGGGCCGTCCAGGTGTGAGTGCCCTCACCAGAAAAGTGCCTTCCCATAGGTGAGTGCACTCACAGGATATTCTACCAAAGAATTGGGACACCCTTGGATCAAGGGGACAATATGCATATTACGCAGCAAACGTGTTCCACTTCACACACATTATCAACATTATAAAATGAGATGTTTTTAAGTCTATTTCATATGAAGATTTGCTATAATTAGGTACAAAACTGCTGCACATCACGCACTCATAGAGACAGACGTACACACACACACACACAGACAGACACCTCACTTCCATCTTTGTGTGGAGTGAGAGTTTTTCCAATGTGGTTTTACTGCAAATGGCAATAAATGAATCTGAATCTGAGACAAATGCCCACAATTGTAAACCTCTTTGTTTGGTCTGGTCTGTGAAAGGCAGTATATAAATAAAGATTAGATACTTACTTACACATGTACAAACACGTACCACACTTGCGCTGTGTGTGAGGGCCCTCGCCTCTTCTCCCTAAGTATTGGGACACCCTACAACCCCTGCTGGCACACGCAAAATCTAGGGCAAGGGTGAGAATTGGGACGGGCTTTAGAGTAAACCGTATGAGGGTGCTAGTATGAGAGCAGTTATGGTGATTGTGTGATGTGTTATGAGTGAGAGGGGTTTCCTGAGGCTGTAGACCCAGGACTGAGGCTGTAGACCCAGGACTGAGGCTGTGTTATGAGTCTACGATCAACTTGTAACACTGATCCTGGACTGTTCATTCCTCGGTGATGTGAGATTTCATAACACTTTTAAGCAACTTTTGTTAAAGTTAAACTCATCATTCTATCAATGTGCAGAAGCCTGTACTTTTCCCTTGTTTTGTCTATCTGAAGGCCAAGCTACATGGCACCGTGGAAGCTGCTGATTGAAGGTCTCCATGCCTCCGCTCTGTATAATACACTTGCATTCTGTTGTATCTGTGATCGTGTGTTTTGTTCGTGCTGTCTCTACCATCGACAATAAAACATGTCTTCTGTCTGAATGAAAGACGCGATCCCAGACTATGTCATCTTCTTCAGGTGGTGGAGGATGCGGGCCTTGTCTGTAGAACAGAAGACTTTTTTTTTACACAAAAAGTGTTTTTTTTTAAGCCAAAACTGAGAAACCTCAAGAGAATGCATCTGGATCAGCACACTTGGACAATCTGCACAGCCCCTGATTCCAGTCAGGCTGTGAGCTGCTGAGACATCGACAATACCATCGTCCTCTTTTGCATGGACATCATTTGGAACAATTGGATTACACAATTTGGACATCATTTGGAACAATTGGATTTCTGAATTTGGACTGAATTGAATTGCTGAATCTGGACACTAAAGTTGAAACGTGTGATTGAAAGACACGTCACAGAAGAATTCATGGCTCGACACAAATGCAGCCTGAAGAAACCAACAGGAGAAGTGGGAGAGACTGTTTTCAAAGCAATATCTGGAACCACCATCGACTGATGAAGTTTTACTGAAGATTGTTGACAAGTTTTATGAAAGATCTGAACATGTTTTATGAGTTTTATGAGTTTTTGAAGTATTCCGAGTTCTGAGTTTTTTGAAGTACCGAGAGAAGTACCGAGTTTAAGTATTGAGTTATGATGTTATGTTGCTGTTTATCGATCCTGATGGTCACACGTGAATGTATGACCAGAGGGGGGAATGTGAGATTTCATAACACTTTTAAGCAACTTTTGTTAAAGTTAAACTCATCATTCTATCAATGTGCAGAAGCCTGTACTTTTCCCTTGTTTTGTCTATCTGAAGGCCAAGCTACATGGCACTGTGGCAGCTGCTGATTGGAGGTCTCCATGTCTCCGCTCTGTATAACACACTTGCATTCTGTTGTATCTGTGATTGTGTGCTTTGATCGTGCTGTCTCTACCATCGACAATAAAACATGTCTTCTGTCTGAATGAAAGACGCGATCCCAGACTATGTCATCTTCTTCAGTGATATTAGGTTTTGCAATAAGTATAACCCCATGTGAGGTGGTGAGAGGAGGAAAAAGTCACACAAACTGATGTGGGAAGAGAGAAATATGTTCTCCTTGTACACAAGATCTTTCTACACAATGACTTTACAAACTTGTGGTTTTGGCACATGCTCTCTCTTCTCATGGAGACTCTCAGTTGAGCAGAGGTTGGGCCATGGGTTTTTGTGTACTCTAAATATTATGTTCAAACTGGTTTCCCTTCAAGCTATTAAAATAAATTGGTCTAAATCAGTGGTTCTTAACCTTGTTGGAGGTATCGAATCCCACCAGTTTCATATCGGAGCCCCTCTTGAGTGAAAAATAATTATATATAACTTTTTATAATGTTGTTTACTGTTTATGTGTTAGACGACATAGATATTTGTTTTTTACTGGTGGAGAAAGTGAGCCGCACATGAACATCATAAACATGGTATTAAAAAGTCTAGGGCAATAACTGGACATATGTGGGGAAAAACTGAGAACTAAGAACTTGGGGAGGCCCAGGCTGCAGGACAAACAGGCTGTAGATCCAGGACGCGGACAAAACTATGCGATCACTTATAGTTCTTCTTTCCTTGACTCACCTCTCTGCTTCCTCCCGACTCTCTGCGGTCCAGGGCGTTCATGAAGGAGGCAGAGCAGATCGGAGCGAGCCGCCGGATGAACAGTCTGACTCTGAACAGACACACAGAGATCTTGGAGGTGCTGGAGATCCCGCAGCTCATGGACACGTGTGTGAGGAACAGCTACTATGAGGAGGCGCTGGAGCTGGCGGCGTACGTGAAGAGGCTGGACAAGAAGCACGCCACTCTGCCCGTCATACAGGTGACTCGTCCGGTCTGCAGACACCCCTCTGTTCAATCACATGAGGTCTATACACCAAACTAGTCAAATATGAGGTCTACATAATTTTAAAGCTTATTATAGGTATATCTGCAAATATCTGCTTTTGTCACCTGAGCCACTGTGGTTTCAAAAGTGTGTATAGTTTTCCTGAATATTATAAATGACAAAAGGATTCTTTATATGCCAAATATACCGTTAAGGCCACGGTCAAAATACAGAACCTCCTATTTAATCTATTCAACACCTGTTTTCATTCATCAGCATCCTTAAATACTGGGAGGTATCCAGCTTTAAAGTATTTTCTTTAGCAAAAAGCCATGCAATAAAAATGGCTTTTAATGTTTTAGTTCTTTCCATCCTTGCACAGTCTATTACGCCTGTGATTCTAACTTTCTGGTTCTCCTCCTGTCCCTCTGAGCAGGGCATCGTGCGAGAGGTGCGCCAGTCCACTCAGCTCATGTTGAACCAGCTCCTGCAGCAGCTGCGCAGTAACTCGCAGCTGCCCGCGTGCCTCCGAGTCATCGGCTACCTCCGCCGTATGGACGTGTTCACCGAGGCTGAGCTGCGCGTCAAGTTCCTCCAGGCGCGCAGCACCTGGCTCAGCTCCATCCTGTCCGCCATCCCCGACGAAGACCCCTACTTCCACATCACCAAAACCATCGAAGCCTGCCGCGTGCACCTTTTTGACATCATCACCCAGTACCGCGCCATCTTCTCCGACGAAGACCCGCTAGTACCCGCCGTTGGAGCCCAAGCGGCCGTCAACGAGCCCGCCATTTTCCACGGATGGGTCGTGCAGAAGGTGTCCGAGTTCCTGGCCACGTTAGAGCGGGACTTGGAGCGGGGGGTGGGCAGCAGGCTGGACTCGCTGCTCGGCCAGTGCATGTACTTTGGTTTGTCTTTCAGCCGAGTCGGAGCGGACTTCCGTGGGTTGTTGCCGCCGCTTTTCCAGCGCGTGGCGGCCGAGAGCTTCCGGAAGTCATTGAAGGAGGCGGCGGAGAGGCTGGAGGAGGATATGAACTCGTACACGTTGATCTCGTTGTCGTCGGTGCTCGGGGGGACGATTCCGGCCATGCAGCCCACCACACAGCCCGGCACGCTCACGCCACCCATGGCTCTCCTGGACTTCCAGCCGTTAGCCTGTTTTCTGAATCACGTTCTTACCGCGTTCAACGACCTGAGGCTGTGCTGCCCCCTGGGACTGGCTCACAACGTCACCGCGGCTCTGGAGGAGGCACTGAAGCTGGTGAGATTCACAGTATGATGTTATAGACAAGTGGTTCTCAGAGATCACCAGGCCCGAGACCATTGTGGGGGGGGGGAATTCACACGTTTATTGCAGTAATTTTTGTTAATATTTTTCACGAGGAGTTAGTGGACATGAGGAGTTAATATGAGCGGCCTTTGTGGGAATGGTTATATTTAAAGTATTAGAGTAAAATGAGTTCGTAAAACACCTGCGGAAGCAGGAGCCGTAGTTCTGAGCGGAGCCAGAGGTCTCCAGAGATCAGAGAAGTGTTTGGTACTGGCTCACTCAGATTCAGAGGAGGAAGACACGCAGGTGTCCAGTGAAGCAGACACAGACATTATTAGTGACAGGAGTCCGCGCCATAATAGTCCAGTCAGCCACAGTTTACGTCCTCCGTGTGGCCCTGTGGTAAAGAGGTTTGGCTTTTCGGAGTCAGCGGTAAAGCCGTCCGCACATTAAAAGCGGAAAGCCTCTTTATGCTGTTAATTACAGTAACATTGGAAAGAGAAGCCGCGGGGATGAGCCGCCACAATGCACTTTTTAACATAAAGCGGCCACCCGCTTTTAATGTGTGGACCTCTTTACTGCTGACTCCGAAAACCCGGGCCTCTTTACAGCGGTGTGTGGCCGCAGTGGAAACATTCTCCGAACGCCAGGCAGGGGACGTGGTGAAGGGGACAGGGGGATCATAACACCGGGCATGTGGGTGAATGCAGCGGGGATAAACAACCGCGGGGAACGCGGGAGACGTGGCAGAAGCCGCGGAAGAAAACACACCGCTAATCTGCCTTTACGGACGGCGATGATGATGATGAAGGCAGAGAGGAAGAAAATCCATAAAAGTGGATCAGAAATTTTGAAGAGCCTGTTGTTTATTGTTGAGACAATCTGACAATTTCTGAGCCCATTCATTTAATCGCTCTGTTTCTAAACGATGAATTCTGGAGCCTCATTTCCACTGAGACAAACTGTATGCCACCAGGTCTTTTGAAAGGGTAATATTGAAACCAAAGTGCAGATTTCATGACTGGTAAACTATAAGCAGTGCCATCTTGATCATTGAAGGTCTAATACATAATACAATTCCATATGGCTGCTGACCAGTGCTAAAATATTATATATAAATTGGATCAGTGAATTTATTCCTATCCCACATTGTGTTACATACTGAAGATATTTCACGTAGACTGTTGACAGTATTCCCAGATCTCAAAATACACTCTCAAACTACAGCTTTTTGAAATCTTTGTACAATAATTAACATTTTCCAAAATGGCCACCACCTTGATGACGCCACAATATGCAAATTAGATGACAAATCAACATCTATCAGAAAGTTTGGTTCATACTGAAGATATTTCTCATTTACAATATGCCTTAATCTCAAACTACATTAAAATTATAGCCTTTTGAAACCTTGAAATCGAAATTGTAAAATTTGTTGAAAGAAATGGGCTTAGTGCTGCATGAAAATCACTTGTCAAAGGCCTTGGCTCCGCACCGTGCTCCTCTTTGCTGTCATTTTCGCAACATGTCCAGAAGTTCAACTTTTTAGCACTAACCATGTTGTGGGTTTAGTCCATGATTTTGTCAAGGAGAAAATTAGCATACAGCACTTACAGTCACACTGCAATCAGACATGGATTTACATTTGTCAGGCTGAATGCTGTGATACAGGAAACACGGCACAGAGATTACCCCTTAGCCAATCAGGACGCAGAACACAATACGCTGGTTCTTCCTTAGCCAATCAGGATGAACATTGCAAGTTCATATACAGTGAAAATCATGCTACAAATAAATCTACAAGACCGCGAAAAGAGAACTGCTATTCAGCTGAGGAGACACATTTTTCCTGTACGGAAGTTTCTGATCTGGTGTTTGTATGTAATTTTTTTTACTATCATCATGTTTTAGATTATAGATTAGACAGTAATGTTTTTGCACTTTATGATTTGAGAATTGTATACATGAATGTGTAAGAAAATTGAGGGGGGGATATCCCCCCTAGGGCCATGGCTAGGGGGGGACTGATCCCCCCCATCCCCCCCTCTGGAGGAAACCCTGGATGGGGTCCTGTCTCTCTCTGGCCTCTGATATTCTCTCTGATGGTAAAAATGTAAATTCCTGGACCAGCTTGCATGAATTGCAAGTTTGGGATCTCCCCAGAGCGACTCAATGATATAATAATTTGAAAATACATGGCTATAAATGGCCAATGATTACAGCAAAAATGTACCACAAGGTATCATGTTTGAATTAATAAAAAGAAAAAAGTCCAACAAAACAAGTAGCCTGACCTCGCCAGACCCTTGTAGTTCCACCATGCTCCACCAGAGGCGTTTGTGTGAAGCTCAGCGAACTACAAGGGTCTGGCGTGTCAGGCTACGAAACAAGTGCCAATACAAATCCCTTTCATCATCAAAAGTGAAACTGAAAATAAAACAAAAGGACATAGATATTTGCTGTTATCTGTAAATGTAAGGGGAAAGTATAAATTATAAAAGTTTATTAGCATTAGCATGAGATTGAGTGAAGTATAGTTCAGGATAGAGAAATGTGCGTGTGTGTAATGTTTAGCGAACAATATTGTTAACACCAAAGTCGGTTAACCACAGGACATAGTTTACCTGTTTTTTGTATAATTCTTGGTAAATGACGCTGGTGTCTTCCCGTGTGCTGCCAGGTGACCCGCCAGATCGTCGTCTTCCACCGCGCGGAGCAGACGGCCTTCAGCGACCGAGAGAAGGAGCTCTTTGTGAAGTTCTGCTCTGCGTTTGCCGACGACCTGCTGCCGTTTCTGAACCAGTGCCTCCAAACGCTGTTCCCCCCGAGTCAGCTCGCCCTCATCCTCGGTACGCAATATTACTATGTCTCTTCATTGATGTCAAGGTTGAGATTTTATTTTGTATTTCAAGTATAGAGTTGCGCTACACTTAATATTCACTCTTCTTTTCCCCACTGTGGGACGAATATAGGATCTCTTAGTGTTTATAACCTTAGTTTCAGGCCCGGAAATAATCAAACATCAAAAAAGAGTCACTCACTTACTAGAAACAAAATCCAGATCGTTCAACATTGTGATAAAAATGTGATGACTGTGGCTATATCCACACAAAGACAAAACGCTTATAATTTCAGAAACGTTTTCTGTAAACACGGAGTTAGCTCAGTAAATGTGTGTGTCCATATGGATGTAGTCAATACGCCTGAAAACGCTGTGAAACTATGCCAGACCTGTTGGTGTCGCAGTGACGCAATGACGGGATCAAGCCCAAACTTCCGTGACGGGAACTGGGCATGCGTAGAATTTTGTAAACAGACAACATGGCGAGTGGGCGAGCTGGTACTACATTAGTATGGACGGACGATGAGGTTGAACTGTTGCTTCGGGTCGCACTGGATTACAAAACCAAAACGCCGGCCTCGTATGGACGATACACTGGATTGATAAAGTATTTTTGCGTTTAGGCCTGAGCTTGACTTCGTGTGGACAGGGCCTGTATTTCACCCAGATTGGGTAAAATACAGTCCAACAAACTTGGAGAACCGATACTTCATGAGAGAGAGAGGGGAATACTGAAATCAAAAACAGAAAAAAACGGAATGCAAATGTAGGAGAAACATTTGTGTGAAGCCATTTGCATTTGTTGTTCTGGACTCAGGAGCTCAGGAACCAATGGTACTTCGGGGCTAAAACATTTTATATGATTGTTACAGCAGTTACCAAAGTCTGTAGTATCGATCAAATTATATTTATTTGTGTATAGCCTTAAATCACATCATCAGACACATTTGAATCACCAACCACAGATCAGAGAATCACAGAATACAGGAAATGGAATAATAACAAACTAATTTGTCCATAAGGAGGGGGACGACCACTGTTTAAAAATGTTAATAAATGTCCTAAGACCCTCCTGTATGGGCTTTAACACAAAAAACATCAGGGAGGCCCAAATTGAGAGGGCCAGGACTGAGGCTGTAGTACAAGAATCGAGGCTTTATTCAGGATTCTAACAAAATATTTCAAAAGCTCGTTGTTTGAAGAATTCAATTTTTAATAATGAATATATGTATTTCTTGTTTAATCAAATGTGACTGCCCCCTTTTATTCATTTAAGACTTGTGTTTCTCTCAGGTCTACCTCCCACTCAGCTTCAAAAATACGGTAATCTGGGCCGGATCAACATCGCCGCCATCACTGAACCTTTGGAGTTTGTTTTACCCAAAAGAGAGATTTTGGAAGATTCAGATCCACTACTACCAGAGCTTGACCTGACTTTAGACCTGGGCAGTCTCAGTCTCGAGCCCCAAACCCAGGAGCCTGAAGCTGAAGATTCCAAAACGCCTGAGCCAGAACCAGGCCCGGATCTGGATCCTGGGCCAGCGGCAGATCCCACACTGGAGGAGATACTCGGCCCTGATCCGGGTTTACAGAGTCCGTCAGACGACACGCAGACAGAGACGGAACTGGATGAAGACATTGAGGAGTTGTTGAAGTGAAGACTCGTATGAATGAATACTATAACTTTATACAGATGTTTACGTTCTATGGGAGAAACTATTTATACGAGAAACCTGTACTGACTTTGTATTGAGATGAATTAAATTAGCTTTCGGTAGTTTGGGTTTCCCTGTCCTGATCTTGATTAACATATGCCTTAATTGGTTGAGTTTTAAATAAAATTTAAGGCCTAAATAAATGTTGACCCGCTTTGTTTTTGGTGGCTTTAGTACAAACTAGTTGCTTTTGATTCCTAGTGGAACTTTTTTACGAATGAGCTCTTTCCACTTGCAACATGGCTGCCGTATTTTCCAAAATACAGAAATGTCACTTCTCTGGTCAACACGCTGGCTGTGTTGTTTGAACCTAAATTAAAATATGTATTAATATATAGACTATAGTCTGGTCTGGGACCCAATTTGAGGAACAATTGAAGCCATACAAATTGATAACCCTGTCTCATAGTATTGTATTTGTTTTATTTGTAACAAGGCATAAATAGTTTGGTCACACACTTCAAAGACTAGTTACAGTCGCACAGAATGCATCTTACTATTGGTACTCTTAATTTCATGTTCACCATAGGATAAAACATTCAAACCACAATTTATGAAGCTGAAAATACATAAAACTGGTTTGGTTCTATTAGTTTTTACATGCTGTAGGAGTGAAAAAGAGGATAAATCTGAGCCATGGGGTTGCGTTCGCGTGACATCACAACATTCCAAAGAGCCTATTGTTTTGCATTGTGGTGGAGGGAAGCAGAAATGTCTGTTCTGTATCTATGGTATTTGTCAGATTTCAGCCATTTACTCTGCAGTCCTGTTACAGAGATAAGATGAAGACTAATGTTACGGTCTGATTTGTTCACAAAATGTTACTCAAGACCTTTTTGGTTGGAACCAAAAAAACATGTATTAATAATGACAAAAGCAGTTGGGTACCCCAGCTTTTACTCACAAAACTACTGTCGCTCATGGCAACAAGTGATTATTCATGAGTTGCAGATTGACCAGAAAGTGTGTGTGTGCCATTAACCACAGCTGTAAAGAAAGAAAGCAGTTGCCTGATCCCAATCAGTCCAAACGTGCAGCTCACTTCTTCTTCACAAACTTCTTGCAAGCGGCGTTGGGGTTGGCGCGGCGCCGACCCGCTCCGCTCTGACCGTCGCGCAGCTGCAGGTTGGCGGCGCGGCTGTAGATGTCGTTCTGGCTGAAGGGCGAGGAGCCGGCCACATAGTCCGGGGCAAACACGTCGGTCTTCTGCCGCGCCTTCCGGGAGAGTCTCTGCTGAGGGAAGCGCTGGTCCTCCACCAGGTGAGGGTTATCCCCGTGTTTGCCACCCTGAGGCTGAGGCAGAGAGTACTGCGGGCACAAGCACAGGGTTCAGGTCCAGCGGGGGTTTGAGGGTTGCTATGGCAAAAGCTACTTATGCCATAGTTTAAGTAGTGTAACAAATCGTTTGAGGGAAAAAACAAAAAGGGTCGGTTTTATGACGCAGAGAAATGTGTGTTAGAGATCAAAATCATTGGTCTGTTTTATCATCATCATATTTGATCATCTCTTTGAGGTGTCTCTTTTTCCTCATCATCTGACTGATGTTTGATGGGACTGTCCATACTGAGACCCTGGCCCCCCCTGCTGTCTACCTCCTGCCTCACACAGGTTCTTCTGGCGTTCAGTCCATGAGCCTCTAATCACTGTTCCCTCCAATTGATTTCTTATAAATGCATTTACGACGACAAAAATAATTCCATATTAATATGACAGTTACTTTCTTGAGATTGTAACTTTTTAGCGAAGCTGGAATGCTGTGGGTGAGAACCCTGTTAGTGCACCAGAAAACTTCGAGGGCTACCCAGCCACTGTTATAGCGCGGGAGTAAGAGTGAATAAGGCCGGGTTAGTGAGTGTGTACCCGTAGTCCTTTGGGGTTAGTGAGTGTGTACTCTTATTCCCTTGGGGTTAGTGAGTGTGTACCCGTAGTCCCTTGGGGTTAGTGAGTGTGTACCCGTAGTCCTTTGGGGTTAGTGAGTGTGTACCCGTAGTCCTTTGGGGTTAGTGAGTGTGTACCCGTAGTCCCTTGGGGTTAGTGAGTGTGTACCCGTAGTTCTTTGGGGTTAGTGAGTGTGTACCCGTAGTCCCTTGGGGTTAGTGAGTGTGTACCCGTAGTCCCTTGGGGTTAGTGAGTGTGTACCCGTAGTCCCTTGGGGTTAGTGAGTGTGTACCCGTAGTCCTTTGGGGTTAGTGAGTGTGTACACGTAATCCTTGGGGTTAGTGAGTGTGTACCCGTAGTCCTTTGGGGTTAGTGAGTGTGTACCCGTAGTCCCTTGGGGTTAGTGAGTGTGTACCCGTAGTCCTTTGGGGTTAGTGAGTGTGTACCCGTAGTCCCTTGGGGTTAGTGAGTGTGTACCCGTAGTTCTTTGGGGTTAGTGAGTGTGTACCCGTAGTCCCTTGGGGTTAGTGAGTGTGTACCCGTAGTCCTTTGGGGTTAGTGAGTGTGTACCCGTAGTCCTTTGGGGTTAGTGAGTGTGTACCCGTAGTCCCTTGGGGTTAGTGAGTGTGTACCCGTAGTCCCTTGGGGTTAGTGAGTGTGTACCCGTAGTCCCTTGGGGTTAGTGAGTGTGTACCCGTAGTCCCTTGGGGTTAGTGAGTGTGTACCCGTAGTCCCTTGGGGTTAGTGAGTGTGTACCCGTAGTCCCTTGGGGTTAGTGAGTGTGTACCCGTAGTCCTTTGGGGTTGAGCACTTTGGGGTTTCTGGAGAAGTGCATCTGAATGAATCCGTCCTCGTTCACCGTCACCGCTAACTTCTTCAGAGTCCTGTTGCCGCAGTGAGGACAGAAGACCTTCTCCATGTGGGTGGTGGTCCTGGAGAGAGACCACACAGTTACATTATAACAAAAGCAGGGGGAGGTTCTCAATGTTCAGAGCCTACGCACTTGAAGCAGGCGTGGCAGCGCAGGATGTAGTTCCTGGCCTGTTTGATCACCATCCCGTTCACAGACAGAACGTGGAGTCCAATCTGAATCAAGACATTCTGAGGAAGAAACACATTCAGGATGTAAACACAAGAACTGTCACTAATCATGTTATTAATTGATAAGTAGAGGATCCCTCGCTCAGTGTTTCCTCCAGGTTTCTCGCTTATTTCCCACTAGGTGTGTGAGTGGTTCTTTGTGATGCAGGAGGGTCTAAGGACAGTGATGATCTGGGACATTGATGAACATTGAACATTTATGGACACTGGTCATCCTGCTTCCTTTGGACTAATGGCTCGTTATTATTGCATTGCGTTTGATTCTCTGATTTGATGTTGACAAATTCACAACTTTGATAAGTTGTGAATTCGTGGGCAATATACAAATAACTGAACTGAATTAGTTGTTTAGAGAAAAAACTTGAATAGTGAGTAAGTTGTTGGAGTAGTTGGTGGAACGTTTCTCTCAGCCCAAATAGTGACTTGCAGGGTTCTTTCTGTCATGACTGCAAAAGACAAGTTTTACAAGACAGACAGTGTGAATCAGACAACAACATGCTGTCTTAATAAAAAACAAATATTCGACTCTTTGAGCTGAGAGCTGATTGGCTGATTAAGGGTGGTCCTGTCTTTTCACTTTTCTGTCTGAATCTAAAGATGTGACAGAGGCCAGACATACATGCACGTGAAAACTAGTGACAGAAGCAAACTCTTCTAAGAGCCAGAGACTAGTTTTAAAGTTAGTTACACCAGCTTTAAATCCCACAATGTGATAAACACCAAACCCACACTAAGCAGCTTTACCTGCATGGCGAAGTCGGTGGTGAGACAGCCCACGGTGACGTCCTCTGCTTGGCTCCAGTCTCCGGACTCCAATTTAACCTGTTTGATGTTACTGGGAGTGATCCAGCCGCCGCCATCTTCCTCTTCCTCATCTTCCTCTTCTTCCTCCTGTGGTTCATTCTCCTTGTCAGAGTCCTCGCTGAGACCGGAGTCCAGTTTAGGCTCTGAAATGCCGCTGTCAGACTGCGAAAACAAAACATGGTAAGTGAAGGAAACTGTTGCATCATGGGGGTAATTTAAACAAAATCATTGAGTCATGGAGTATTTGAAAGCTGGGGTAAAACTCGAGTGCGACACATTTGTAAACAATGTGGTTCACTGCTGAAATGCGATCAGACAGAAGACTGAGGGAAAGCCAGAGAGAGACCAGCGAGGGAGGCCAGAGAGGAGCGAGGCCAGAGAGAGCGAGGCCAGAGAGAGCGAGACCAGAGAGACCGAGACCAGAGAGAGCGAGACCAGCGAGACCAGCGAGAGCGAGACAGCGAGACCAGCGAGAGTGAGACCAGCGAGACCAGCGAGAGCGAGACCAGCGAGAGCGAGACCAGAGAGCGCGAGACCAGAGAGCGCGAGACCAGAGAGCGCGAGGCCAGAGCGAGGCCAGAGAGAGCGAGACCAGAGAGAGCGAGACCAGAGAGAGCGAGACCAGAGAGAGCGAGACCAGAGAGAGCGAGACCAGAGAGCGCGAGACCAGAGAGCGCGAGACCAGAGAGAGCGAGACCAGAGAGCGCGAGACCAGAGAGCGCGAGACCAGAGAGAGCGAGACCAGAGAGAGCGAGACCAGAGAGAGCGAGACCAGAGAGAGCGAGACCAGAGAGAGCGAGACCAGAGAGAGCGAGAACAGAGAGCGAGACCAGAGAGAGCGAGACCAGAGAGCCAGACTTTAATTAAAGGTAACAGTCATGTTATACTAGCGTTTCAAAAAAAGAAACGCTAAGTTTCAGTCTCAGTGAGAGACTGAGATCTCACCAATAAACTCAGCAGATCCTCATCGAACGAAGGCAGCGGTTCTCTCCAGAAGTGGAAACTGCTGAACTCATCACTGCTTGTCGTCGTTTGAGATGTTGTGCCTGTGTGCGTCGGCCGCTTCTCTGGTCCAGTCTCTGTGGAGTCCTCTGCCACTGGGTCCTGGAACATTCATAATGATGTACATAGCACCAGGGCGGTCACGGATTAGGTCGTCAGAGATTGAGCTGACGGTAGTTGTGACTTAAACTTATTGATCACATTTCATAAAATAGTAAATGTAGTTCAGAATATTAAGATGTTTTTAGTTGAATAGATCCTGCATAATACATCGAAATAAGTTCCTTCAAAATCTATAATAAAGGCATAGACTGATCGAATGTACACAGATGGACAAATGCTAACCCGCTAGCTCCTAATGACTTGCATGTACAACTAAACTAACTCAGTAACTGTTTGTGTCACCCCCCTTATGGGTTTCAAAAATCTGTGTTTAGCGCTCTCTCTGATAGGGAACGTGAGCTGGCTTTAGACCCTCGTGAGACAGGTTAGTTTTACCCTACTGATGATGTGTTGTTGCAATAGTAACAACACATCATCAGTAGGGATGTGATGTGTTGTAGATGTAAGCAGCGAAACAGCCATATTGTGATTATTACGAGCCACAAGGTGTTGGTGTCTAGGAGTGTGGCTCAATAACAAAATTAAAACCGGGTGTGGAACAGAGACGGGAGGCGGAGGTCCATAAGTTTATTAAACTTTTTATTAAAAAGGTGCAAAAGGACCCACTAGTCCAATGGACGGTCAAAGTGGAAGAGAGAGAGAGCCTGGTCTGGATCCAGGCCCTTTATGCCTCCCAGCTGATTACCCTACAGGTGTGAGTGGGACGTCACTAAAAACTTACCAATCAGGAGGCTTCTACCGCCGATTTAGGATCCAGATTCAGCAGCGACTAGTGCGAGAGGAGACAGACAGGTGCTACCCCTGATTGGTGCTTGGTATCCCGGCCGTTACCACCACCAACATTAGCAAAAATTAAATTAAATTGGGCTGCACGTTCCCGCTCTTTTAGCCTGTTCAAGCTAGTGCTACTCGGCTTGTTGTTTACGGAACTAGCGTCTCACAAAATGGATCGCACATTTGCATGTGGATGGCGTGACCATAGAAGAATGATAAAACTAGGAAGCACGGAGGACGAGACTTTCTTTGGCTATTTTGCTGTGTAAGCAGTAACCGGTAACGAAGACACAGGAAGTTTCAGGTTAGCCTCCGCCGCTTGTTTACCTCAGCTGTCTGTGTTAACGAGAGACCTGTAGGAAAGTGGGGGCCAGTGGTCCGCTGTGATTGGTCACAATCTGGTCCCAAAACAAATTGTCTTCCTTGTTGCACAAAAACTCGATCTAAAATAAAATGACACGACATCACAAACCAGCGCTACTTATTCTTCAAAAGGATGTATATCCCAATGCACTGCATGGATATGGATTGAATTTTTGTAATGAATATAAAAATAAAGTGAGATAATGCAGCTTTAAGGCAAACACTATGGTGACATCACACTCTGTCTGTCCACTCCACTTTAGTTTAGTTTTAATAATCATCGCTCTCACCAGTAAACTCAGCAGGTCGTCACTGAGTGAAGGCAGCGGCTCCCTCCAGAAATTAAAACTGTTGAACTGTTCGGTTTCGTTGCTCTGTGGCTCCGAGCAGGAGTTTTTCCGTGTGTGTGATGGTGTGCTTTTTGAACTGGGGGATTTCTGAAAAAACAAATAAATACACAGGGTTTGTATGAGGCTCACTGGTCTGGCTGTAAGACGTCCAGGCTCTTGCAGACATAACACCAGGTGCTTTTATAGAGCCAACACCAATGCCTCAGTCAGTGAGGACTGTGTGGTTCCTGTTTTCGGACAGTCCACCTTTTCATCTAATGAAACTATGGAGCACTCATCCCACTAACCTAAGACTACAAAACAGACTAAGGGCACGGTCACAAAGGTTTTTACAAACGAACTAGGCCAAGTGTCCCGGATCGTCGTCACAGGGGTGTGAAAACGGCCCGCTGTCACATGAACGTGTTGTCTGAACCGTGCCAGGGAAATCTTACCGAGCTGTCAGCTACAGTAGCTAACAGCTCAGTACGGATCGCGTTGTTTAGGGAAAGATACATCTCACACTCGTCCAAATTGCTCTGATGCAAAGTGCTGCAGTTCAGTGGGTAACATGTGAATGCACAAGTGTGTGTTTGTGAGTGCACCGCAGACATGAGTGCGCACACACACAAACTCTTTAGCAACGAGCGTAAGAGTGCTGAGAAATGAATGAAAGAATGAAAAGTGGGGAGTATGAGGAGAGCGACCGCGGACAGAGAGGTTACAAGTGTGTGTGTTTGAGTGTGTTCTGGTGATTAAATAAAGACTGATTCTTGAATGTCTGAACTGTTATTGCAATAGCACCACACTGAGAGCGAGGGTCAGGACAGAAGAGAGCTATACCCATAGGAAACGCTTTTCTTTGGCTCTGGAGCGACACTCCCCCTGCACCCCTCGACCACGGTCCGGGGCTTATATGAAAGGTTTAACACAAGCGGAGAATACGAAAGTGAAGGAGAGACGTGTGAAAATGCCCGTCACAACGGAAGACTTAATGTGACGCACAATTTCAAGTCCCCACCACACCTCATCCCCCACTCCCCACCACCCGCGACACTGACCCCCCTCATCTGCGCTGGGAAGCGGGCCCTGGCCGAAGTTTTTAACCGCGCCAGAGCACAATTCCAGGAATTGTGCTCTGGCGCGAATGCCGCGGTCAGATGGCACCTAAAGCCCGGATCTACTCGTGAAGCGGGCCCTGGCATACTTTAACCGGGCTTTAGGCTGCGCATGTGACCGCAGCCTAAAATATCTTGACCAGAGTCTGAACCTGTGGCTGAGATTGCAGCAAAGTTGTTCACGTGTTCAAAGTGATAGTCTGGGCAGAGAGGTACCTGATCTGAAAAAAATAAAAATAAATAACAACCCAAGTTCCCTCCCCCTTCCTTTCTGATTGGTCCTGAAGTCGCGCCTACTTTTCCGTGCACGTACCCGGTGAATGGGCCAAGACGTGCGGAGGAGAGAGAAAACAACCAGTGTCAACGATGTAGTTATTGAAGGTAGGGACACATCTTCTGCTCTCGAGCTGAGTGTTGATCCATGGCTGCACTTGGGACTGATGGTGGAGGCTTGAATCAGAGGCTCCGTGAAAACAACTGAGCATGCCCGCAGATACGAGTGTGCGTTCGTGATGATTGACAGCCGTTAGCATTACTTAATTGGTTCAGGTGGACGGCAACGTGGATTTTGAGCCATTGCTAAGATAAGGGAAGGCTTATTTTTTACATTTACATTTAATCCCAGAAAGTCAATTTAATACGATTCTTCAAATTTGTAGAGTTCCAAACTATAACTTTAATAAATTGTGCAATTGATACATTTTATATTAGTGCATCCGGGCTCTCCAATGGAACTGTTGCGTCCATATCAAATAAATAATAGGTAGAGTTTTAATAAATTAGTTTTATTTACCTTGGATGGAAAGTGGAACCCTGCCACATTGACTGGTGTCTCTGGGTGACGTCTGGTGCTTTGAATATTGACCTGAAGTAAATAAGAAAATATGTAAAATGACAGAAAATAAAAGTATACTTCACCAAATGTGTTAAATATTATTATTTTGCCCCAAATGAATCAGCATTGGTCTAGTTCAAGTGAAACAGACCAAGAAACCAGCAAACATGCCTTAAGAAGGCCTAATAAGACTTTTCAGGACCTTCACATCTGGTTCCTTCTTCAGATGCTGTGCGCCCACATGTTCCAGCTCCAGCTGATACGTCAGAGCCAAGACTTTGATGTCGGTGGCAGACAAACTTGCATAGTCTCCGGTCTTCTTGGAAAATTCTGTCACTGAAAAACAAACATATGTATAAAACAGCCTCAGGTGCTGTTTACAGTAAAACATTAGAGTTGGGTATCGGATTGGCCTTTCGTTTACATGGAGACAGTGTTTCAAGTGAAAACGTAAGTGTTGAGAAACAGCCTCCAGACTGGATCAGAACGTATACACTACTGTCTGTGGCGGGGGGCTGTTTCACAGCTGTGTGAAGAAAAAGGTGTGTATTATCCCCGCACGTACATAAGGACATGCGCAGTAGCCGAGAACTAATGCTACGTCTGCATTCAGCCCTACACGGAGGAGGATTCGGCTCCTTTGTCCAAACAAAACCACACTAAGCTCTAGTTTTAGTTTCCATTTTCACAGCTGCTGTTAAATTCAGAATGATGTTGGTGCATTTTTTCACGTCTTTGCAGTGGCCTGAGGAGGATTTTGTTCAGGAAGTGATTATAGTGCTGGGGGTTGTGCGTGTCGTTTTGTAAAGTTCCACTTCCCACTACTGGCCAGGCGCTAGAACCACATTGCTTTCAGTCGTTGTGTAGACCAGGGGTCACCAACCCCACATTATAGCATTATCTATAAATAGTATTGGTCCCGGTGCCTGTGGACCCAGTCTTTCATCTCTACCACTTTGTCTCCACGACTTTGTCTCCACGACTACAGGTCTGTCTTTGACGAGGGAACAGTGTGGTCATTTTGGAGAGTATGTAGCATAGCTGTACCTGTCCGTATGTGTTCCGGAAGTGGCTCTTTGAACTTCAGGTCGTACGGCAGGAAGGACAAACTCCGTCTGGTCGGTTTGTCCCTGATTTCCTCTACTACGTCCTTTAGAGTGTAGATGGTTTTACCGATCTCCTGAAAAGACATAAATACAAGTAAAATTAAGACATTTAAAAAAAAAAACAAGGACTCCCACAATTATGAAACTACGGGAACTCCCAGCGCCATCATTTTGACTGCTCTCATTTAAACCAATGAAATTCTGAGAAATGGCCCTAAAATGTTAAGTTTTTCAACAGATTTAAAAAAAGTAATTCATCAAGTTTTTTTTAGAAAAGAAAAGATACATTTTATTTACCTCACAATGAAGGAATATACATGTCATATTTGGCATACATAGAATCACTAAGGTTGTGCAAAAAGAGAAGAAATGTGCAAACAGTTCCTGTCAAAGATTAAAAATATAGTCTCTTTTGTGCAAGTGATATGTCCAATACAAGTGTCTGTCCGAGTGCAGGTCATTCAAAGGACTTATTGTACAGTATGAAGCCGTATGAAGGCCCTGGGATTGCTCTTCTTGCTCTGAGGGTGTCTCAATCTTTATCTTACTCTACAGTTCTGTGCAGTGGGAGGCGTTGTCCATGATGGAGAGGAGTTTGACTAGCACCCTCCTGTCCCTCACCTCCTCCACAGAGTCAGAGCGTAGCTGGCCCTTCTAACCAGCTTGCTCAGTCTGTTCCAGCACACTGCAGCGTAGTGGATAACAGAGGCTACCACATAGTAAAAGTGAGAAAAGGTAACAAATGACTAAATGCTAAAACTGGTGAATATAACTTTGAATACAGCAAAAATCAGTTTGTTGAAAGACTACCAAATACTAACTGGGAGAAAGTAAACATGTTGCTATGGTAACTAGTACCGGCTCTACTGTGGGAGGCAAAGGTAGAACTACTCTGGTAATTTCATAAGAATAATGACATAGAAATAAAATACATATAGATACAGAACAAGTCAAAGTTATGAAGACCAAAAACGTACAAAAGCAAAGTAATTACACTTACAAAGCGGTCAAATTGACTCCCGGAGTTCTAATGACATACAACATACGTAGAGTAAGTAAAATAAAACAAAATAAAAAAATACAATATCATCTATGCTTGGAATAGTGGTCGTCACTTCATTTAGAACCAGAATATCTCAAATATTTATTGTATTTACTTATAACTTAACCTGCTCACCACATTTAAAGGCCCGTTATTACAGTATTATTATTCTGTAACAGCGCCCCCTGTGGCCAATAACGTTGTAGGCCATCTCCTCGAGTTATTTCATAGGAAAGAGACACAATAGAGGGTAATATCATGAATACATGTAAAGGACAGATGTTACGTGTTCATGATGTAATAGTTTGAATCAGCTCGTGTTATTGTCGCCAGATCCTTCTGAAGTCTTTTGACGTCTCCTTTCGCTGATCTATCGCCACACAAAGCGACACGCGGCTATAACCCCACAGCGCAGTTATACGTGTTATATGTGACGGTTTTGAGTCTTAAAAGGGAGAGTATTTCACCTGAAGAGGAGCTTTCTTCAGAAATGCTCCCGCATCTGCGACAACATGCTCCACCAAGCCGGGCGCCATGTTGGACTGAGGGCGGAAGATGGGGGACCAATCAGAACAACGGATCAGTACACACGTGGTCTGATCGCAAACCGCAAAACGTAGTCTGTACATTATGATATATACAGTCTATGATTATGATATAATACATCTATGAGAAGGGTGTGTTATTATTAATATTAATAATATTAAATAAGGACAAAATACAATGTGGTCCATAGTTAAAATAAAAAAATCCAGTACACACAGTATATTGCATAATGAAAAATAAATATGTACAGACAAAAACAAAAAGAGAATATTACAGCTGCTGTACAGTGTAATGGCATGACCTCTAGTTAGTCCATAATTTGAGTTTCTGCAAACTGGACAACGATGAGCAGTGTACATAGGTGAGCATTAAGATCTAAATAGAGTTACCATAGACTGTAAATATTAATTATTACTTCAGGAGAGCACATAAGTAGCAGCATATTTGATTGGCCATAACTGACACAGCTGCCTGTGCATGTACTTGTCATCAAATAGGTCACTGGTGATGTAGTGAGCAAGGAAATTCACCTCATCTGAACTATTTAAAATGTTCCCGGATAGAAGAGTATGTGTGAGTATGTGTGAGTATGTGTGTGTGTGTGTGTGTGTGTGTGTGTGTGTGTGTGTGTGTGTGTGTGTGTGTGTGTGTCACTTGTTTTCAACTCCTGGTGGGGTTCATAACCTGATATTCCACTCACGTCATGGGGACCTGGTTTTACGTTGTGGGGCACGAACACCGGTGTTTTGTCGAGAAGTACACCCTTGTTGAATATGTTACTGTTTATTCGACAGGGGAGGCCGTCTCGACAGAACACCTGTTGACGAACTCATCGCTTCTCCGCTCTGAATATCTGCCGAATATCCAATACCCAACCAACTTCACCACGGTACCAAACCGCACGTTTACAGTACAGTCTATGGTCTACTGCTGCAGATGGAAGAGAGTTGCAGCGGGTCCTTAAATTATGTCAAATTTATATATTAAAAAAATAGAATACACTTTGTCTGTTGTGCTTGAAGACCGCGCTTTTTTCAACGGGTGTCAGCAGGAGACGTACGAAGGTAGAACCCCGGAGGATAAGAACCACTGTGTTATTACTTTATATCAAATTATTCTTGAAATGTGAGGAGTTCTACCTGTAACTCCCAGAGAACCACAGGAAGAACGTTTAGCAAAAGTTAAGAGGTAAGAATGGCTCATTTGCAGTCACTTGACCAAATTAGGTAAAGTTATCAGATTCGGACTTCCTTAGTCAATAGTTCACAAAAGGTACTTTGTTAAACGAAAGTGATTGTGCCAAAATGATCACCTCTGCATGGCTAACTACTAACTACAACATCGGTTTTTCTAATCCAATGCGCTGTTTTATTGCAGAGAAATCCATTGAATCCAATGCCACAAGAAAAGGAATTGGATTTGAAAAATCAATGTTGTAGTAGTTAGCCTATATAGAGGTGATCATTTTGGCACAAATTGCTTTACTTTTGTGAGCGATTGACCGTGGAAGTCCGAATCTGTGAATATTAATGGATAATAATATTAGCTTAATTACCTAATAGCTTAAATCTATATGAGTTAGCCGCCAAATGCATGGTCAACTGACGGCACAATTTCCACTGAAAACAATTATGGACATTGTTTGTTTTCTTGTGAATGGTGTCAGAGCATAGACATTTGAAGAGTTCAGAAATTACAAATCCCTGGAGGTTCATGGACTTTTTATCCAATCCAATCCGCCAATCCAAACAAGACCAGCAACAACAGAGACATGACACGGATAGGACCGGTACATCATGCACAACATAAAGATAATTTTGCTCTGTGTTTGTTCCTGTTCAGACTTTACACAGCCTGTAGTTCACATTACCATCACAGAGGATACAGAACCTCATCCACAAATACCACAAAAGACTCACACTACTGAGAACAAAGACAAAAGAGAGAGGTATAGCCACCCTGCCCAGTACAGGGACTCCAGGTAGAATCGAGCTGTTTTGTTTTTTGGTCATTCTGCACACACTTAGCTTGTGAAACAATTCGGGCGTTCTGCTCTCCCAAAATTCCATCCGATGGGCGGGGGAGCGACTGAATTTTGCGTTGCATTATGGGTAACACTTGCCTTCGCAACTTCCGGTTCTCTCTGCCCGGCGCATTTTCTCTAAATGGTTGAGTGTTTTCGTCATTTTCTGTATGCAAATACATTCCCGTCTTTAACTAGTGGCATATCGCGCAAATCATCCGTCCAATTCACATTCTTCCCTCTTAGCTGAACTTCATTCTCATTGTTACCATCTGTCACTCGCACACACAGCCGTTTTCGTTCACTCTGCTCGCTGTCATCTTCTTCTAAATCTTCATAAACACCATCCGCTCGTTGAACTAGCAACAACAATTCCTCCTTTCGTTTTCCCACACTGCAAATACCCTTTCGCTTCAACCTTTCACGCAATTCAGGCACTGTCAATCGCTTGTTGTTTTCGTGAGCCATATTCGCCATTGTATGAAATCAACCGGAAGTGAACTGGGCAACAAACGGTGTCATTTTTTGATCACAGCGCCGCTCAGTGGATGAAATTTTGGGAGAGCAGAACGCCCGATTTAACCTTTTCCTGTGTCTTTGACAGATCTTCTCAGTCCATCATAATGAGTGTCAAGTGTGGGAAGACCTGGTGCTTTGCTCACACACTCAAAAGACATACAAGAGTCCACACAGGAGAGAAACCATTCAAGTGTGACCAGTGTGGAAAAGCTTTTTCCTACACAGTACATCTCAAAGTCCACAACAGAGTCCACACTGGAGAAAAGCCCTTTGAATGTGACCAGTGTGGACAAGAGTTTGCTCATGCTAACTCCTATAAATATCATCTGAGAATCCACACTGGAGCAAAGCCGTACATCTGTGAGTATTGCAGTAAAGGATTCAGATCTTTGTCAAGCCTCTCAGTTCACCGTTGAACCGACACGGGACACAAGCCTTACATCTGTGAGACCTGTGGGAAGACTTTCACTCGTTTAGGGAATAAAGAACGACATGTGAATATCCACACTGGCTTCAAACCATTCGCCTATGAGACCTGTGGGAAGACTTTCAGATTCTGGTCAAGTCTCCGGAAACACAGTAGAACCTGCCCACGTGAAGAGTGCAGCAGCAGCAGCTCGGACCAGAGCAGGAGGCCTGAAGAAGGAGGAGCTGAGGCTGGATCGTCTGAGCCCAGAGTCAGGCTCAAACAGCTGGAGATCAGGCTCCACCGGCTGCAGACTCAGAAGTAAAAGACCAGTGGAGATCCAAAGTGCCTGAAAACACTATGGCGACAAAGTTTTAGTTAAAGAAGTCAAAGCGGAGAAACCCAGACTGAGTTACTCACCTCATCTCTAAGGAAGCCACTCTGCAGAGGAAACTCATCTTGTTCTTTTGTGACCAGAGGAGTGGTTAATCCAGAGCTCAGACTGCAGACGCTGCATCCTCTGTACCACATCAGTCCAACCCCATTGCGGTCTTTAATATCTGAAATTGTAATGTTTATTTAGTTCAATTATTTTTGTATTTATCAGTTTTCACAGCTGAAGCAGACGTTTCGATTTTTGACAGTTTGAAGTTAAATCTGAGCAGATTTTTGTTCCTGACCAGTTTGGATAAGTGATGTTTTACTCAATGTATATAGTATTTGGTGTTCTGCTATTTCCATCAATTCAGTTTACAAGTTTACAAACACGAAGATGACTGGAAATTCCCACATTTTGGTTATTTATAGTTCTTACCTTTACTCACTTTTAATACAAATGAAATACAGAAAAAACAGCTGTAAAGGCTAAATGCTAACTACTGACAGTAAACCGCGTGTTGCTATGGTAATTAGCACTGGTTATTCTCTAGTGGAAAACCAGGCTGAACCAGGACCAGTCTAGACCATGTTGGTTGCAGCTTGCCAGGGAGGTAGAACTCACACTTAAAACATGTTTGAACAATCAGAAAGTGTCTACATGTAAAAGCAAACTCCAGCTAAGTTTCCGATTTGGCCTGAAATCTGTGGTTTATCGCTCTCTGTGATCCTGGTTGTTTATACTGTGATATTGTTGTTTATTTTGTCTTTGTCCCATTGTGGAAAGCCGACACGGGTCATAACAACACACCGACCTTTCCCACTCTTGTCCCGGGTGAACACAGTTTGATCAAGTTTTGAATGATTTCTTTTTCAATTATTTTAAATGGAATTGTTTTGATTGTGACATTTCCAGTGGTTGTTGTTTCATTGTTTGATCACATTTAGATACAAATAAGTACAGTGCCTGAAATGTGGCGAAATGTTGAAAGGTTCAATACTTTCGCAAGGCACTGTATTTTGTTCTAATTATTGTTATAGCTTTTTGTTCAGTTTCAGTGTTATTTTGTAAAATAACGATTCCAGAAGTTGAAGAGGTCAGCAAATATTAATATTGACCGTAAAAGTTTTAAATAAAGTTATTTTCAAACACATTTGACCAAACCTGGAGCTGAGAGATGAACACCGAAGCTCGATTTGGATGTAGCAACCATAGACTGTATATATAGCAACACAAACAGTAGAAATGGCGCCATCTCTTGGCTGTTTGACATAATGTCTAACAACTGTTTAGCTAGAACACTCGGTTCTAAACGGTGAGTAACCTTACAGAGAAGTGTGCAAAAATACATTAGGAATAGTCCTGTATAATGGGAATGGGAATATCTGATATGTGAATATCATATAATAAGAATCATATAATAATGTGTCTTCGGTTGCAGTGGCAGCCTTTTGAGCTCAGACCTCTCCAACACACACACGTTCCCTGGGCAGCTGAGAGATAGTGCCTCCAGTCTTCCTCTGGTCTCCTCCCGGTGAGACACGCCCAGAACACCTCCCCAAGAAACAATAACATCGACTCTGAATGTAAACTGCAGGTAGCTTTCAATGACGCTCTGAGGATGCTGTTAAAGAAGCCCAGAACGACTCGAGCGAGTGAGTTGTTCGTGAGCAACAGAGTGAACACACTGAAGTCTGTCCTGAGAAATGCAATGTTTGGTTTTATTCGCCGATTGAACGAGTCTGTGAACCTGGTTGTTGTTGTTTTGGTGAATGTCAAGTTCAGTACAACACGCTGTATTTCTCAGTTCTGGGAACACTGGTACAAGTGTCTTTGTAAATGAGTCCTTATACTTTGCTATTTTATTTTTTACGTTTCTGTGTCTTGTGGTGTCCTTGTGTTGTCTCTTGTATGGACCTTTAGTCCGAATAAAGATTATTATTATTATATTTTTTCACTGTTCATTTGCATAGGATGAACAGTGAAAAAAGATAATAGAGTATTTTTGTAAATATATAATTATTTCAGAAAATATGCTGTTCTCTGCATTACAGCCCGTTGATGAGTTTATCCGTTTTAAGATATGTTATTTTAAAAAAAAAAATCCTCTGGTCACTGAGGTCACGTGACATTTGTTTACGCTGACACAAGATGGCGGCGCGCTGGAGCAGTGAGAATGTGGTGGTGGAGTTCAGAGACGCGCAGGTATTTTTCTTAAACACAATTGAACTCGTGCAGCCGTGATACGTGTGCTCTAGTCTGTAGTAAGAGTCAATGTGACAAACAGCGGTGATCTCACAGATTATAGGAATCAAATCACACCACAGACACACTACAAACAAACACAAGAAGCCATATCCTACAGCACGCTTCAGCAGAACACATGACACACACACGCATTAACACATTCACGCCAATCCAAACAAGACCAGCAACAACAGAGGCATGACACGGATAGGACCGGTACATCATGCACAACATAAAGATAATTTTGCTCTGTGTTTGTTCCTGTTCAGACTTTACACAGCCTGTAGTTCACATTACCATCACAGAGGATACAGAACCTCATCCACAAATACCACAGAAGACTCACACTACTGAGAACTGGGGAAAAGAGACTTAAGATAAGGGTCAAAAGAGGAGTTTCCATTTCAAAACCATATGTATTTGACAATAAACTGCGAACAAGGATTTTGCATTATCTTTCACAATCTCTGAAATACATCCATGGAACGCATACAGATTCAGATTCATTTATTTGCGATTTGCAGTAAAACCACATAGGAAAAACTGTGCAAGACTACCCCAGTGTGCACCACCATACTCTCACTCTCACACACAGACACACACACTCTCTCTCTCAGACACAATGGGGTTTTACATATGGATGAAAGCGAATGACAAACAGTATAATAGTTTTCCTCGTCACAGCAGACTGCAGGTGAACTGAATAATGAGATGAATCATTGTGTTGTTTTCAGGCGACGGCGATGTCAGTGGACTGTGTGGGAGAACACGCTGTGCTCTCAGGGTAAGTGACCATAGAGCCCTGTTCACAAAATCCCTGTTTCCACCAGCCCTACTCTGGTGGAAACAGGGATACTGGACCCAGGAATTTCCCCCGGATACTGTTCTGTTGTGGGAAGGTTGCTAGGATACAGTACCAGATACTAAAGCGTAATGGAGGAGAGTATAGTAGAGAGCCACTTTCTTTTTTAATTCAATCAAAAACATAAATATATTTGCAGTAATTACTAGACTATAAGCCGCTCCTTTAAGTTTTTTTTAACCCTGCGGCCAGTGTATGTATTTTCATTCTGTTATATCTGTCTATCAGTTGTTAATTTCCGGAGCAGACGATGCAGCACTCATTCCTGCTTCAGAGTGTTTATGTGAACAGCCGAGAGACACAAGGAAGAGTAGGTTTATGTGATTAGAGCCGTACAAAATCTTAAATATACACAATGGTGAAATACATGTTGCTTAGAGTTTTCTCACGTAGATATTTGTTCCCAAACCGTGCCGGCCCTAGTGTGATATTGAAGCCGTTGTGTGCAGCCGCCGCTTCCTGTACATGGTGAACCTGGAGAGTCCGTCCGAGACCCAGAGGAAGATCAGCCGCCAGAGCAAGTGGGACGTGGGGACGGTGCAGTGGAACCCACACCGCTCAGAGGCCCACGTCTTCGCCGCTTCGGTCAGAAAACTGTTTTACTTTTTGTTTTCATATTTTAGAAAATGCTATACTTTAGAAGTGTTTTATTATGCCTTATTTTATTCTCTGCTTTTGACTTGTTTGCACCGAGAGCCAAAGCAATAGGGTTTGTGCAATCGTTCGTGACTTCATTTACATGGCAATGAAAATTATTTTGATTCTGATTCTGAAAGTGGCAACAGACTGTTCGCTTTGTGAAAGTGGAAATACTGGCGATGCATCTGGGGATTGCATTTTTGTCATCTTTACAAAACAACTCAAGCTCTGCCAGATCCGATGTAGAGTGTTTCACTTGGATTTTAATATGATTCGTGTTAAAGCATTCTATTGAATTAAAAGTCTTGTGTTCAGGGAAATAGCACCACAAGTGTTTTCTGATTTTAGCAGCTTTTGGTCAAGATGGTCCTGTTTTTGACTCCTTTCACTTTCCTTGTTTTAATGGTACAAAATGTGCAAAAGTTCAAGCTGTATCGACATTTTGACAAGGCAGTGTATATTGAAATAATCCAATATTCTAGTAGATTAAGCGGTGAGTGTCTGTGTTTGTCCAGAGCAACCAGCGTGTGGATCTGTACTCCTGGAGGGACGGCAGCGGAGAGGTGCACACGTCTCTACAGGGACACACCAGAGTCATTAGGTCAGATTGTTCTCCTCTGTCAAATACTTATCTCCATCCATGCTGATATCAGGAACTTCTGTCTAATTGAACTGTTTTCAAACTCATTACCCTATAAGGAACAGTATGTCATCATTTAAGTCTAAGTGATATCTGCTTCTTGTACATAACAGGCCACATGTACATATCAGACCTTTGCTGAAGAACAGTTTGAAGTGGACATTTCCTTAATGAAAAATGCAATGGACACAATCAAACAGATTCAGCAGGAATAATGACACCCTTGCTTGGGTTGCCAGTTTATTAGCTGAGATGTAGCTGGTTTTGGCTCTATGTCTTTTACTTTTTGAATAAGAAAATTCACAAACTAATGAATAGCTCCACAGATAAAAAAAAGAAGTATCATATGTAGCACACACTATTTGTACGGTTTCTAGATAATCTACAGCAAGTGGATTCCTCAGTAATCGGAGGAGAAAGATTCTTGATTAGAGCACAATAAATAGTAATACATAATGTCCCTTTAAGATAAAAGTATTGCCTCCACATTAGATTTGAGAAGATTCCAGTCCATAGTAAATAATTTCACATTTTAATACATAAAATAACTAGGGCCAGGACTTTAACGCGTTAATTATTAATTTTGTGTAATAATTCATTCATTCATAATAAATTCAAAACAAAGAAGCTGATGTACTGTATTTCTAAATATGGTATTGCTGCACTTAATGGCAAAAACTACACTGGTCTGTTGGACTTGAACATAAATAAACAATATTTTTGTTGCTTAAGCTTGTATGCAGTCATTATTCAATGGTATACTAAAAATCAATGTGAAAAAAATTACTCCTCACTGTTCACAGGTAAAATACATGTATCTATATTCAATTAAAATATAATTAATTTCGATTAATTATTTTTTTCATTCGAGTCCTTGCCTTAGAAATGACCAAAGTAAATATTCTGAAAATGTTTAAGAACCAACACAATAGGTCTGACCACACACACACACACACACACACACACACACACACACACACACACACACACACACACACACACACGCACACGCACACGCACACACACACACACACCTACACACCTACACACCTACACACACACACACACACACACGTTTTTGTTACCTGGTGGGTCCCTTTGACAGGGCCGTTCAGAATGGGACCCATAGACATAATCTTTTTTTACTGGGACTACTTTAAGTAATACAAAACAGTCAATAGAAACCAAACAACTATTTTAAAGGAATTTTATTTTAGATTTTGTTTTCGAATTGCAGTGATTCTATTTTTGACATAGAATTTAATGCCACTCCATGTCCGATGTCTAAGGTCATCTGGTGAGGCATTAATGCAGGCCAGGCAGTGAGACTTCCCAGGGACCTTTCCAGTCTGTATGAAAGGTGTCATGGTCTTCTCCACAGCCTTCACCTCAGATGCAGACCATGGCTTTCTTACACGTTCTAGGGAGAGAAATAAAAATATATTAGCAATATACACTCCCAGGGTTAGGACCAAGCAGCCTGGCTGTAATCCCCCACCTGGTACACTTACCAGAAGGGGCACTGCCACTACCATGGGGTGCATCTGGATGAATGGTTGAAGGTTCTCCGCTTGAAGTTTCTTTTAGCCCGTCCGTTTGTGAGAGGATCTCTACTGCTCTCCCTGTCGCACAGAAAATAAAAATACAAGTGGCCTTTAGGGGAAAAAAATCATACATATTTTAATAATATCAAGAATTACCTTCAGGCTCAATTTGTATCTGGTCGAGGCTCTTTCCTTCGAATTCCGTCACTCTCTTCCCTGCTCCATGGCCATCAACACTTTGCTGATTTTGGCCAGCTCCAGTGTCCCCTCTGGTAGTCTGTAATATTGCCTGTGGATGCGAATGTCATGGCCGAGGAAGTTGGCAAGTATGTCCATCTCATTCTCTTTCATATTGAGAACTGTAGACATAGTAGCTATGTGCTTTCTAAGTTTGGTTGAGGATAGCATCTCTGGATGCACCGCACCACATTCTTTGGCTACCTGGCGTAGGGAGTCTGATCCCCTGATGTGGGTGTCTGCGCCCGGGCGGGAAAAGAAGTATGGGTTATGGTCAGAGATGGAACAGGCCCTTCTGTTCTCCACCAGCACCTCCATCGAAGCAATCATTTCAGGAGTCAAAAGAACCGGCACTTTCCGACTTCTTTTCCCTTTAATTTCAAATGCGTTGAAAATGCTGACACAGCTTTTTCTCAAGTTGGGACAGTCCCAGAGCAATGTCAGAATGGATCCCAGTCTTACTTCTTAAGGTAAAGGCTGTCAGTGGCATCTTTGAAACCTCACCTTCCCTTCTTCGATTGAAAATGATGACCTCACAAAGAGTCAAAACTGCCAGTTTAGACCAATGCTTAGACGTTGGCTCACTTATTAGGGTTTGCACATATTCAGGTCGACATACCTCAATATGTGCATGCATGGCTCTAACGTCCTCAGTCAGAGGGAGCAGGTCCGGAGTGTTCCACTTGGCTTGCCGGAGGGTCTGTAGGGCAGCAGAAGAAACACAGACGTCCCACCTCTTCTCAAAAAGCAGCCGGCTTCGTTGGAGGTTTTTAATAAATAGTTCATCAACACAATGCTCCATTTTTGAGTCACATTCAAGAATATCTGCTAGCTTTCTGAGGCTATGGCCGAGTTTGAGGGCCAAGGATGGAGTCTTGTATTGATTTGTTTCCTCATCATATCCAGCCACAGACCTGACTGCATCAATCACATGGTTAAAGTTGGAAGGAATAAAGAAATCCTTAATTGTTTTCAGTTTCCCTGCGGTTTTAGCTTCGTTAATTAACCTACCGACTTCTCTCATTTTCTGCCTAATGTAATCATGCTTAGTCTTATCATGCCCGTGTTTTAAGTACAGGTGCTCTCCGAGTCTCAGAATCCCCTTTTCTGCTTTGACAACACCCGTGACCTCATCCTGATGCATTGCCGAAATTAAAGACCACAGCTTTTTGCTGATGCCCTCCGGTACAGGCTGGGCTAGGGAGCAGAGGGACTGGACCCTACTTCTACCTGGTTTAGCCTGGGCATCTTTCTGTGAAAGCCGGCACCTGGCCACATGCCTCCACAGCGACTTTCGCTTAAGCAATGCCCCACAGTCTATACAGTGCAAAAACTCACTGGATTTAACTGGGCAATTTGGCTGTTTAGCTGGGACTAAAGTTCCAATGCCGGCCTTTAAAACCTCAAAATTGTGCTCACGGTTTCCACTATTCCTGATCAAATCAAACTGAAGTTTACGTGCTTTAGACTTCACAGGTAGAGCCAATGCTCTGGCTACGTCACTTTCATTTCCATGTTTTCTAGTCAAATGACGGGACATTTTGTGGCAGGACATTGAACAGTAGAGGCAGAAGTGTCTCTTGCTGTAAACCCTGCCCCCATTTTTCTTCTTTTGCAGCTGCATGATAACAATCTTATTTGCCTTTGGTTCGTCACTTTCCGAGTCTTGAAGAAAAGTGTTTTTGATTTTTCTTTTTCCATACTTTTTTACAGGTTTCTTCTTGACAGTTAAATCGTCAGAATCTGAGTCGACTTCATCAATTAGGGACTCTTGACTAAGCTGCACAAACAACAAATAATTTGTAATAATTCTATATAACAATTTGAAGTCATGACTTGTAGTCAGCACTTACCAGTGGGTTGTAAGCGTGCGCTTCAGTGTGCTCCTCCATGATGTCTTGCAGCCTAATGAACCACACACTTGCACCTTTTCACCTGACTTCCTCTGTTGTGCTGCTCCATGATTGGCTCCAGCCTGCTGGACTGAAATTGCCCCAGTGTGCCCCTCCCTGATATCCCGCAACCCACCACCAGGGTTCCGACACATAACACACTTTTTTCAGGAAAGTAAACCTCCAGGGGTCCTTTCCATATTTTTACAGAGACTGCATAAGGACTGTTAGAAAAGCATTACCCATTGATTATTAAGCTTGGACCAGTGGGGTCCGGTGTTCGGGCCCCACCACGTAAAACCAGTCCCCATGACGTGAGTGGAATCTCAGGTTATGGAACCCACTAGGAGTTGAAAACAAGTGCACACACACACGACACACACACACACACACACACACACACACACACACACACACACTCATTTCGACTTTGCCATTTTTGTTATTATTATTACAACTGCAAACATCCTGCACTTATATGTGGCCATAATTCTCAGCTAAGCCTGCTCAACTCCACTGAAGGCGGAGAAGTGAAATGAAACAAAATGTGCGTGTGCGTTCAAAGACCTTAAGGCTCTCTCTTTTAGCCCCTCGCCCTAAATGTGGTCCTGCACTTTCACAACAACGGGAGAAAGGAAACGGGAATATGACAATAATTGGATTCCTGCAACAACCTTCAAA